ACTGGCGTCATTTCGCCTCTCCGATTCCAGCGGGGAATAAGTTTGTTTTCATTTTTTATATTTTGTTTGTGCTTTGAAGTTTGTTTAGCGGTTAGATTTGTTTTACGGGGTAGGGTTGCTAGCCCTATGCCCAACCTTCCCTGTTTACCCGGGCTTAGGACCGGCTAGTAACTAGTAAACTAGTTAACCAGGCGAGGTTGGCTTCTCATTAGGCCTTCGAAAAGTCTATCTAAAAGCGATCCATAAATGGGTACTGGACATTAAATCAAAAACAATGATTTGGTTTTTCTTTTTTTCAGCAATGTCATTGTTAAAAAATGTACGATCTGAATATTAATAGTGTACACACTTGCTGATTCAAAAAGAATGTTGACAAGGTTGATAACAAAATAATTTTGTCATGGATTTTGAGTAGAAACGTGTGCCACTCACCAAGACTGTCCATTATAAATGTAACTATATTGATGCACATAATTTAGACGTAGGGCTACCAACTAGCCGCTTGAAAGAGCTTTTGTTGTGGGTGCACACTTAATGTCCAATATAGTTTCAATAATAAAATGTATAGACAGAAAGATGAAATTGCAACGGGGTCACCACTGGGACCATTGTTAGCAGACCTTTTCGTGTTGAAACTAGAGAATTCTCAACTTTGTCAAATTATTATTCGCTTCGACTTTTATAGAAGATATATGAATGACACGTTTGTTATCTGTGACAAAGATGTTGATTTAAACCGTGTTCTGCGCTCGTCCAATGAATGTCATCCAGCCCTCAAGTCTACCATAGAGAAGGAATCAGAATCAACTATTCCTTTTCTTGATGTGCTTCTCACCAGACGTAAAAATGGATACCTCAAAAGATCCATCTACAGAAAAAAATTGTAGAACGGACAGCTAACTAATTTTCACAGTTGGGTGCCTGTCAACAGAAGAAGAAATCTTATTCACTTTCTCTGCTATCGAATAAGAATTATCTGAAGTGAAGATTATATTGATGAAGAGCTGTCGTTTATTAAAAAGCACAATTGTTGAAAACGTGCCTTTTTATTAATAAAAATATGCGAGGAAGAAATACTAAACCGGTCATCCAGTCAGTATCAAAGAAAAAATTGTTCGTGAGCCTAGAACCTAAAGGCGACCTACTATGAGATGTACTGAATAATCGTCTCCGCACACCAGTCAATAGAACTTTCCTCTCGGCAAGACTTCAGTTGTTTTTTACCAGCTGCAAACTGTTCTCCGTTCATGTTGAAGATAAGCTTCCTCGTTTGGCCGCTTCTATGTACATCTAACAGTTCACCTGCTCTTGTGGAGCAAGGTACATCAACCGTAGCCAGAGAATGCTTTATACATGTATGCGAGAACATGTTCCAGCTTCCTTTTATAAAGGTGAAGGAAAGTGTGTTAAAAGTTCGTTTCTAGAACATTTGAGTGATTTCCACCACCCAACAAATCCACACAATGACCTGAGAACCATTTATCAAATTCGCCTAAACCTTCCAAGTTTTCTTCATTTCCAACTTTTAAAGACAGTGAAGGCTTTAGCTGTTCTTGAACTAAAACCTGTTCTGCATGCACAAAAAAGTATGTACAATAAACACCGTATTTTTCATGGCCATAACATTTTCCCACCCCCATTAGATTCCCCTCTCCCTTTTTTAATTTAATCTTTACATCCTTCTTTTATCACTATGATTGTTACTACAATTGCCTTATTTCACGAAATTGTCTTAATCTTTTTAGAAAACACTGATTTCATCTTAACCAACTTGTCCAATCTTATTACTTAATGTGTAATTGATTCATCGCTTCTTTTCACCCCTCTCTTAGTTTTTTACCTTCTATAAACCACTCCATACATTATGTAATCTACCTTATTATCATTCATACTTCAGTTATTATCATAATCGCAGATACCTATTTGATAATGTCAAGTAAAGTAATTGTGGTTACATACGTATGAAGTTAAAGCTAGATTATATAACAGAGTGCTAAGTTCTACCCTATAAGATGAAATAATTACTAATAGATGGACAGTCGAAATTTTCAAATGATGATTTATTCTGAAGGGAGGATTTTAAGAAATAATATTCACCTACAGAGTCAAGTATGTCAGATGTGACAACAGCATTGAATGATAGTAGCGATATATCGCGAACTGAAAAGAGTAAAATAGTGTAGAACATTGGGTTCTAAGTCAGTGGCTCGTAGTTAACGTGCTTGACACGAAACCTAAAGGTGTTGAGTTTGACCTATGGCAAGGTCATGGGTGCACACTATTGAAAACTTTCATACTAGAATGAAACAGTTATCTAGTACTCTCAGGCCTTCAATGGTTCTCCGTGTGATATGAATCTAGGATGAATACCACCTTCGATTCGTTAACTGTTGTTGTATTTGAGAAGTGTGAACATTTTCAACTAGGATAGTGTTTTTGTAAGTCAGTTACATTATTCTTTTCATTCTTCTATACAAACTCCGACTGCAGGGGGACTTTTTATTTTATCATATTCAAATTAGACTCAAGCTCAAATTCTTCTAGAAACCTGTTTGAAACTGAACATATCCTAATCGACAATGGACTGAATGGTTTGAAAAAGTTGGGTATCGAGTTAGTATGATTCATCATATGTATGCTTTACTTGTGTATTCACTCGGTATAGTATATTCGAGCTTTTTTCAAGTTTTCCAGATAATAGGTATTTTTTGACGGTTTCTAGCAACTTTAACCGTGTTCGGTTAAACGTGTTAGTACTTGACGTGATTTCTTTGCAAGGAATGTGAGATCGCATTCACTACAGTCTACCTTATATACACAGTCCTGCTGTTCCAAACGCGGAATCGGACATTTTAATCTACACAGGTGTAATGTGTTCGTCACCTTAAAGGAAAGTACATTTGGTCCACAGTAATAATTTTCTGTAAGTGTTATTTTCCACCCCTTCCCCTCGCTCTCCGTGTCACTTATTGTCAGTCAAAATGGACGAGGAAACATTCCACGTGATTTGTTGCACGAAGTCGAAAAGTACTATAAAATGGAGTAAAGTGAGGAAGGGTTGCTTTATTTCCATGATGACCAACGATACCGTCGGAAGTGCTGCAACCGAAAACGAATCAATCTTTATGGTGCATTTTTGTCTCGCCGCGTTTCAGTTCTCGGAGTCTTTGGAGGAGTATGTGAAGCCGATGTACACGCCCTACGTTGTGTGAGATTCACATTTGCAACGTGACCGAACAGCCCACGCCAAGTTTGTTTGCTTTAAGGCTAGTGGACCCCGGTTGATAGATGGAGTAGTAACAAGAGGGTCAGTCCTGTTTGTTTTGATTATATACTTCGTAGAATATCCCTGAAATGTTCTTGTCGGGCATTCATGCTCGTGAAGTTCTTAGACGGTTTCAGGACAGTAAGTCAGTGGCTGTTAACTGTTAATCATCCCTGCAATTCTCTGTTTTATGACAACAGTTATTTGGTGAGGAAGTTGATAGGAGTTGAATTGGAGACCATAAGGTCATTGCTAATATCCAGCATGGCTTTATTTAATGTTGTTGATTTCGTTTATGCGCACTATGGTAAACGACTGAATAATCAAGATGTGTTAAATATGCGTTATCACCTATTCGTTCAGTGTAATTTGAGCGGTAACTGAATCTTCCCTTGAAACAACGTAGTTGAAGGCAGTTATGAAAAGTTGCAGGGGCATATAATCAGTCAAGGTGGATCGGCATCCTTCTCTGTCACAGAGGGTGGAGACCTGAAAAACTTTTTTTCGCCACAGCTGACCAGCTGAAATTGTCTGAAGACTGTCTTGATCTTCTGGGTCTCGATGGCACTTACAAGACTAATAATGAGAACTTTTTTTCTTAACCACTTTAAGGGGCTATCATTATTATTAACTATTATATAGTGTTTGATGTTCAAATATTCATCTTTCCAAAATAGTAATCTATTCTTTCTCACCCTTATTGACTCACATCATTGTACTTTTCATAGTCAAACTAAATTTCCCCACCATATTTTTGTTCCACCCTACTTACATAATTGGAATAAGCCTCTCTCACCGATTTGCTAATTCACTCACCTGCATTACATTGATATTTGTTCCATATCGTGATGTAATTGGATGATAGTAAAGGTCACTTTCTGTACCAAAACTTGAATATTAACGTGAAAACTTCTTAATGTTAGATCCACACTCGTGAAAATGATCGTCCTGGCAAGATTAAAATATTGAGAAATATAATCCAAAATATTTATTTTTATTTAGTATAAGGGTTTTTATATGATACCGTCGTTGATAGGACCGAATTGATCGGTCTCTATTAGCATATGGGCTCCTGTGCGGATGCCTCGATATTGCCAGCAATCTAATTGTGTTAAGGATGGATCGTGGCTAGCAGTGGAATCCAGTATGCGCATTTCGCCCCATTTAAGACTCGTCAGCTGGATGTACCTGCTTCCCAGTGAGTGGTGTTGTTCCTATCGGGATCCAGCTGATGAGTCCCAAATAGGACAAAACGCGCATCCTGGATTCCACTGCTAGCCACGATCTATCCTTAACATGTTTTGTTATTTGTTTTAGTATACTATGCCGGATGATTACACAAGTAAAAATGCATCTTATTCGATGAAACTCTTTGAATATTGCAAAATCAAACAGATGGGAAACGACGAGTTGGGCGTCCGATGGTGACTTGGAGGAGATTGTGTAAGGAAGAAATGGAAGCTTCTGGATAGTCGTGGAGCCAAGTTGAAAATACTGCAGAGAAGAAAGTGAAATGGCGACATATTACTAAAGTCCTATGTTCCACTACGAACCCAAGGGACAAATGATAATAATAAGACAAATCAAAACAAACATTCTACTTACAATGATAATTTCAAAGGCATTTTGAAGATTTATATTTTAGAGAATACTAGGATATAAAAATTATTTCACAAGCATTTCATCAAGAAACATTTATTTCTACATAAAAATATTTTTTTCATTGTTAACTTAGGACCCGAAACAAATAAACTTCCGTATCAAAGAATTTTAATTCTTCTTCGAAATGCACATTTAATAAATAAGAAAATGGTGAATGATGAACAGTTATACAAATTACTTCACAATGACCTTCATAGTTTAAGGAGAAACATTCTACAAAGTAGTCAAGAATCTTTGTGTAATAATCAGCTTGGAATACGTTTCGATATTATAATCGACTTCACATGTTGTACATCAGAGAAAGAGCTAACATCACTATATAATAAATTACCAAGTATGTTTACAAAAGTAATCGTAAGGTATATTTTATTTCATATATTTCACTTCCTTACTTTGACATTAAAGCAACTGAAGTATCTTTAGTGGTATATTATTTGAAAACTGGGTGACAATTGAAGGTGAAATGAAAATCTGAGCTATGGAAAGGTTTTAAACCATCGACCACCTGGCTGCAGACCAGGTGATCTACCAACAGAGCTATGAAACATGACTAATGACTAGGCTTTTATTTCATTTCAATCACTAAAGGTTTTGTCCAACTGCTATGTGAATTCATGACGCGTTACTATCTCTTAAGCGTACTTATACTAATTGCTCAGTCAACACTACTCATTTCAACCTAAATCTACTTGAATTACAGATAAATTACCAGGTAAGTTTAGAAAAGTAATCTTAAGATATATTTTATGATAATTTGATTGGTTGTTTGTGACTGACAGAGGAATCCAGGAAGTGCGTTTCGTCTAATTTGGGACTCGACAATCGGATGAACCTGCAACCCAATGAATGATATTGTTCCCACTGAGACTTGAACCTCGTACCAATTACTTCAAACACCAATGTGTTATCCACTATGTTACAGAGACACGGTTGCCACTTCTCGTACAACGGGTTTTGTTTATATTGTCCAAGCCTAAAGGTTTTATCATTAAAATGTCATTTTAGGCCATTTCAGTGTTTCATACAGTTGGTTTCTTTCGAAAATTTTAATAAAGTTAGAAGAACAAATGCTTCAGAATACAATGGTTTCGTTGTATTTTGTCGCCGTCTTCTCAACTACGTACAAGCTAAAAATCTATAAGACATATATATATATATATATATATATATATATATATATATATTCTGAATCATGTCACGGTAGTTGTAAAGGTAACACTTCTTTGGAACACACAACTCTGGTTGTTTGATCCCGATTGCTACTGCTTCGTCAGTTTGAAGGATCTTGGGCTGAGTACCTTTTGGTAATGTGATGAAAACGCGATGCAGGATGGAAAGTGACTTATTCATATCTTCTTTATGGTTCATTCAAACTAAGTGTGCTAATATGCAGGTGGTAATGGTCTTTACCACATCTTCACTTAGCCACGCTGATAGATGTTCTTGAGAACGGAAAATTAAATTCCTAGAACAGCCACCCATGTAAACGGCTCCACATGAGCAGTCGGACCGATAAACACAACAAGAAGTCAAGAGACTAGGTAATTTATCCTTCAGTTACGGTGCCACTATTAGACATATGGTAAACGAAATTTATAATATATCACTATTAAAACTTCTCTAAATTGATATGCGCAGTTTGTGAAATAATATCTCGCCGAGCATATCACTTCTTAATTGTATGCTAATGTATAACGGTTTTCTGCTAGCCGTTGGAATATCCTTTCCTGCCATTTTTTTTAATCATGTTTGCTGAAGTGCAATTCCTCACTAAGTACAAATAACTGTAGAACCTGAAGTTATTTAAAAGAAATATGATCTAAATAATTTATATATCAAGAGCATGATAGTCCAGTGATGACACAGTGAAAGAATTTATGCTAATTAAGGAAGCTCAAATGGAATTATTTGTGATTGGAAGGACAGAGTAGAAGTCTGGGACCAGATTTTGTGAACGCACTCCAAATATGTGAAGTTTAAAAGAGCCAAATCGTCGTAAAACTTCCATCACTTAAATATCTTATGGACACAGGATACGAGGTCTTGGTGTTGGATGGTTTTAAAATAATCAGTAAACAAAACAGTGCTGTTATATTCATCTTGGTGACTCGCAGCGGAATCCAGGATGCACTTTCTGTCCTACTTAGGATTCGTCAGCCGGGTGCACTTGGACTCTAATGAACGATGTTGCTCGCGCTGAGACTCATATCCAGTCCCCACTGCTTCAGCTGCCAAAGTGTCGCCCCTTAGGCTACTGTGGCGTAAGAGCAGTCTCTTGCGCAATGGGTATTACTTGTTGTTTTTATATTTGTAAATATCCGTTTCTATACGAACCGAAAACTAAACAAAACCAATTTATTATGATTTCCAGAAGCATTTGCTATCAGAAGAATGAAACCGGACTTACACATCCAAAAAGAGGCAATCGCTAGCATTTAACTTCCTTAACAGTCATTGATTTGTTTTGTTATTCAAAGTAACTCCTTCTAAAATTCTGTTTTCTCATCTCCCTTTTACAACCGACTTCACAGTCAATTCCTAGTTCATCTCCATTAGTTTACTGCTTTACCCCGACAGACTTGATCTTAACCCATGCATAACATTTTGACCTCATATTTAAGGTATTAACTCATCATATACACTTACGTAGCCTTTTCTATTACAATTTTGATTGGTCACAGGTAGCAAGATGAAAATGTGATCATATAAACAACACTTCGAGCACACTTCACTTTTGTGAGCTGCCTCCCCATGTTAGTTAGTAGCATATTGCATGCAGGTTCACACCCACAAAATGGACACCACTTGTGGTGTATTACATAGCACATTATTTTGTCTGAATATCTTAGTTTCCCTAGGAAAACATGATGAGATTTTCCACTACGGACTGCGCTAAAGACATTCTTCAGTATTTTATGAAGTAAAACGGCTGACGGAGCTGGATAGGCGTCACTCTATATTACGAATCGACACGAGCAGGTGACTTTGCACCACCAAACTCTAACCCAGTGACTGCACGGTGAAGTGGTCATCGCAAAATCCTGAAGGTCTTGGCTTGAATCCTAGGCAGAACAACGAACTGTTGAAGAATCCAATTCTAAGATGAGGTTTTTAGTGGTTCTGTAATTGACGCCATCTTATGATGAATACTAACTTGAAACCAATAAAATCCCCACAAACCTCCAAACTGATTGAATGAAGACTGTTTTACAGTTTTACTTATTTATATCAATCTAAAATTAAAAGTATGGTAAATAATGTGTTATTTTTTTGCTGCAGGTTGGTTGAGAACAAGTTGTTTACCATTGTTTTTCGATTACAAAAACGTTCACATATCAAACAAATCATGGAAATTGGTGAGAATTAGTAATGGTTATTTTTTAATAAACAGAATGATCACAGGTTGGAATTTATCAATATTACAAATATGCAATCTGATATTCGTAAATAATTGTGTAATAATTTAGAAAATTCTAACTGTAACATCAAGAACCAGATATTCAGAGACTGTTTTCAACGAATTTATTTTCAAGCTGTACATTCATATATATATATATATATATATATATATATATATATATATATATATATATATATATATATATATAATATTTGAAAAATTATATCCTATGAGGAAAACTAAACACTGTCTGATGGTGACAGTAATAATAAAACAGTGATGACCTAGGTATATGTGATAATGATAGCAGTTGAAGTATGAATGACAACAAAATAGATTACGTAATATATGGAATGGTTCATAGAAGACATATAACTCAGAAAGGGGTAAAAAAAATTGGTGGAAGTGATGAATCAGTTAAGTATTATGCAACAACATTTGACAAGTAGATTAAAATGAAATGAGTTTGTCAGCTTCTCCTTATCGCCTAGTCGCTAGCTGAATTACTGGAACCAGTTAGAAGGCAAGTGTCTCATTACTCTATTCGTGATACATTTGAGTTTATTGATAGTATTAGGGATATTGACACCATCGGCAAAGTTATGTTCTCCTTAGATATTAGGTCATTGTCCACCAGTGTACTACTCACTAAAACTGTTTGTTACATAAGTGATTTCATCAATTAACACAATATAAAGGTAGAAATTCCAACAAATTACTTGACAAAGTTATTGATGAAATAGGCAATTTAGTCTCAATGGTTAGATATAGCGGCAAAATGAAGGGATAACAATAAGATACCCATTGGGACCTCCAGCAGCAGATTGTTATATATCAAAACTAGAAAATTCTATTCTTAGTCAAACTACTAATCATTTTGACATCTATATAAGATATATGGTTGATATATTCATTATTTGCGACCCAACTATCGGTCTAAATGACATCCTACGCGAGTTTAACAACTGTCGCTCAGCGTTGGAATTCACTACTGAGAAGGAATTGGGATCAGCTTTTCCTTTTCTTGACGTTCTGACTACGAGAGGTAACAATGGAACGCTGAAAAGATCCGTCTGCAGGAAACCCACTTGGAATGGACAGCTTACTAATTCTATAGCTGGGTGCCAATCATGAGAAAAAGAAACCTCATCCAGTCATTCTGCCATGGAATTTGTAATATTTGTAGCACTTAATGTGTACAACTTGAACTTGACTTTCTAAGAGGGGCGTTCGCTATCCTAGCCGATTTATCAATAAGAATATTCAAGAAAGACCTGTGAAGTCAGTCATCGGCTCAGTTTCTAAAATGACTTTATTCATGAACCTGAAATTTAAAGGTGATGCAGCGTCAGATATCCTGAAAAATCGTCTTTTCAGATCAGTGAGTAGCACTTTTTTCTCAGACAAACTTCACTTGATCTTACCAGTCGTAAACCGTTCTCCGTTTGTATAAAAGGCAATATTCCTCGACAGGCCACATCAATATGCATATATCAGTTAACCTATTCCTGTGGAGCAAAGTACATCGACTGCAGTCAGAAATTGTTGTCAACAAGTATTTATTATTATTATTTGTCCCTTGGGTTCCTAATGGAACATAGGGCTTCAGTAACACGTCTCCATTGCACTCTCTTCTCTGAAATCTTTTGAACCTGGCTCCACGACAGTCCATAAGCTCTCATTTCCTCTTTGCACTATCTCCTCCATGTTACCCTCACCTCGGAGGTCCAACTCATCGCTTCCCATCGAAGTTCCACTCCACGGCCTCGCCTGGCCTGACGCCTGATGTCCCCAGTCGGCTTTCTCAGTTTATGCCCAATCCATCTCCACTTCCTTCTGCATATTTGTTGCGTGATAGGTTCTTGGTTGGTATGTTCCCAGAGTTCCTTATTGCGCATTCTTATTGTTCTGGCCATCTGATCTTCAGTAACGAGCCAGCGTAAGCAGCTGTTGATGAGTGTCTGTAGTTTGTTGAAAATCCCTTTTGTAACGCGCGAAGTTTCTCAACCATACAGAAGCACTGACTTGACTGACTTGGCTTTGAAAATCCAGATCTTGTTGTTTGTGCTGAGTGCAGAAGCTCTCCACACTGGTTTCAGGCTAATGAACACCTGTCTTGCTTTTCCTATTCTGACTGACATCCTCGTCTGCGCCACCACTTGTAGTTGAAACGGTGCTGCCTAGATAGGTGAAAGAGGCTACTTCTTCCAAGTTTCTCCCGTTGATGGCGATTGGAGTTCGTTGTTGTTGTTGGAGTTGTTGGTGTAGTATCTTCATCACCTCTATCTTCTCTATATTCACTTGAAGTCCCATCTTCTCTCAACGCCTCATCTCTTCTGTCAACTTGTTAGTTTTCGCCTGTAGATCTTAAAGTTTGTGTGACATCAGACACAAGTCATCGTTGGCGAAATCCAAGTCTGCTAAGTTTTTTCCGCGGTCCAGCGTATCCCCTGTCAATAAGTATACGAGAACATATTCCGACCTGGTTTTATAAGGGTGAAAGAAAATGCATCAAAAGTTCTGTCCTTAAGCATTTAATCGATTCCAACCATTCAACTGACCCAAACAATCATTTTCCGGTTGTCTATCAAATTCGCTCAAACACCTCATGTTTCCTCTGCGTTCACCTTCTAAAAATACCAGAGGCCTTGGCTATCCACGAACTGAAACCAGCCTGATCTTTGTTTCCAAAAAAGTATGTATAGTCTTTGTCTCTATCTTGGTCTCAATTTATTTTAGTCTTCGTGTGCTTCGCTCTTTTTCGTTTTTCAATCCTCCTTTTTTTGTCAGATTAATCTTATCACTCTTATATCGTCATTGTCACTCTATTTTCTATATTTAATTGTTTCCGGTGTTATTTCACTTGATCTTCCTAATAATCACAACTTTTAACAAAACATTTTCAGTTTACTTCAGTTAATTTGTCTCATTCATATTACCAAATCCTTTGATTGTTTATTGACGTTCTCACCCTTTTCAATCTATATGATCCTTGTAAACGATTTAAAAATCTTACGTAACCCTTTTTGTTATCATTCGACCTTTGCGTACGTCATCAACTAGCAACATTATAATTATGACCACTATTACTACTGTTTCAACCCCCATTATTTAAGTTAAATCTTCCTTACGGATTACAGTCTTTAAATATCATATATATATAGGAGTGTACAGCTTGAGAATAAATTCGTTGAAAAGAGTCCTATTCGCTGAATATCTTGTTTTTGATGTCACAATGGGAATTATGAATGTGAATGTCATCGACAATAAAACATATTGTGACCCTATCGTTAGGAGACTATGAAGTGAGATTTTATGCTTGCTGAAGTGTATGAGCAAGATAATCCTAAGACGTAGAGGAAAGTCACATTCCGTAGACGATTTAAAAGCTATCCAATCAGTGCTTAGGTCAGATATCTCACTAATAATTTATTCGGGTCACAACTGATGTCCATCAAACGGGAGTATGTAAACGAATAGTTCACTGAGTGGCAATCGATGTGATAGACAAGTCCTCACTACTGATCTCATCCTATTGATCGGTACTACAACTTGTCTCTTAAGTGTATGATATAAACCAAGTCCAAATTGTGAATACACACAAATTCAGGTTCTGTAATCTATAATTGTAAACCAGTTAGGAAGACAGTAAATAAGTCGTCAGGTATTCAGAAAATATCAAGTTTATATTATTAACATGGTAATCACTGAAGTTTATAGCCATACATCCCTTGTAATGTCTTTAGGATTAGAACAGTTTTTGACTACATTCATTGAGGAATCATGCCAGAAACTACCTAACTGTTTTAACTGTTTATGGAAGCAGTTTACTCGACTGTTACTAATACCTTTTCAAAATTCAGCTTTTCAGCGAATATTTCTCCGATCTTTTTAAAACAAAGACGTGAAAACTGGAAATTGATTTCTTCATTCTAATGACCCCAACTTCATTTAACTGAAAATTGTTTCGGAGTGATGATTACAGGTGAAATGAAAACTAGAATAGTGTCAGGATTCGGCCCAGCAACCTTTTGGTTATCGACTCAGTAATCTATCAGCTGAGCTATTGTAAAGTTCTACTTCCTTTTGTTTACATTAGTGAATCGAATGGACTTTTTTTAATTATTCTGTTTATCTAGGTGTCATCATCTAGTAATGGAAGTCAGTCAAACAGTCATTCTCTCGAAAGGTTAAATCAATTCATAAGTGAAGATTTTTCATGTCTATGGTTTCAAGAACACCATAGATTTCATGAAAAATTGGAGTCCGAGTGAGTTACTAAGTGTACCATTAGCTTCATTATTCTGCTAAGTAAATGTCATATTTCCATTCACTTCTTGTGTTTGGTCTTTTTATATTTCCTTGGCTCCGCGAGGAATGATGTTAGTAATTGTGTACATAATTAGAGGCGAATACTGAAGAGGTGCATTTATCTGCCGTTATCTGTTATATTGATGATAGTAATGCAAAAACCAACAAGTTGACGGAGGAGGCAGGGCAGCGAAGACGGGGCTTCAATTGAATGAAGAGGAAACAGAGGTGATGAAGGTACCTAACCAACAACAACAACAAGCTTCAATCACCATCAACGGGAGTAACCTAAAGGAAGTTTTCTCTTTCATCTACCTACCTACCTACTTACCTAAGCAGTATCGTTTCAACTACGGGCAGCAGCGGCACAGACGTGGATGTCAAGGCCAGGATCGGAAAGACAGCAAGATAGGCCTTCTTTTATCTGAAAACCAGTGTGGAGATCTACTCCACTCCACTCAGCATAAAGAACTAGATCCAGAATTTCAACACTAATTCAGTCAAGTCAGTGCTTATATACGGTTTAGAGACTTGGTGCGTTACGAAAAGCATTTCCAACAAACCACAGACATTTATCAACATCTACCGCCTATGCTCACTCGATACTGAAGATCAGATGGCCAGAACAATAAGAATAAGCACCAAGGAACTCTGGCTGACCCTCCAACGAACCAACCGATGAAGAACCCACCATCCAACGAATATGCAGCAGATGAAAGTGGAGATGAATTGGACTGAGCATGCACTGAGAAGACCATTTGGGCACATCACGCGTCAATCCAGGCCGTCGAGTGGAAGCCAAAGGGGGAAACAGCGAGTTGGATGTCCCCAGCTGAGGGTGACATGGAGGAGATCATGTGAAGAGGAAATGAAAGCTTGTGGGGAGTCGTGGAGCGACTTTGGAAAGACTAGAGAGAAGAGAGTGAAACGACGACGCTGACGTGTTACTGAAGCCCTATGTTCCAATAGGAACCCAAGGGACAAATAATAATAATAATAATAATAATAATAATAATAATAATAATAATAATAATAATAATGCACCTCAATAGCCGCTAAGATCTTGCACACCGAATGGTGAGCCACACTTACTGAGTGAAGGATAATGATACTAATTCCCTGTCTAAATCTTGCTATGAAAAACAAGATTCCCACCAGCATCTCAAGGCTTAAAAGTCAAGTGCTATCTCAGTTAATCATAACGTTAACCAAAAACAATGTACATTTCCATTAGTGTATGCTACTGATTGAATTAGGTTTAAGTAGTATCTTGAGTGAGACTCAGTTGCAGTTAATCAACTGGCAAATGTTTTGGAGAGAGAAACGGGGTAGATTATTCAGCAATTTATAAAGTCAAAGGAGAGAACCAAAGAAAGATACAACCAGAAAATGAATATCCATTCTCTATGCGGAGAGATAATTATTTTATCAGTGCCAGAGGCAATTAGCTCAATAAACAATCCTTCACTGTGCCTACTATTACAATTCCTATCAATCATAAGTAATCCCTATTGAATAGTGCTAAAGGTTTTCTTTAGTGTATATTTCTTGACCAGATTACTGTATCAGAAGTCCTAGCTCCTCTTTTGTCCAGTTAAGGTACTCAGTACTTGCTAAAACAACAATGAAGCTAAATACTAGTGATGATTTTGCAATTTTTTCTAAGTTTCTAATAAGGAGTTCGATGCTGATAATGGCATTTCAGTAACGCTTCATTAAATAGACTTTGTTTCACTCCAAGACACTTATATGGAATGAATGAATTAATTACCTATTTTTTGGAAGATATAATCACATGCAGGAATACCTTCCTTTTGTTACCTAGGATTCCTAAGCATTCAAAAGCATTAAAATACCTTAGTCTTAGTATGAAGTGGTAAAATCACTTATGAGCATAACATTTTGTCAGCGATTTTAAATAGTTATGTGGTGTGTTTACACTTTTATAGTTTCGTCGATTTGAACTTCTCGTTTTCTATTGGCATGTTGGTGTTCTTGTATAGTTACTTTGCTATTGCAATCACTTTTTTTCAAGTTGGTATTCATCATATACTGACATCAGTTGGAGGAACATTGGGAACATGAAAGGAGTGGACAAATCTTTCGTCCTAACGTGGTACAGCTCAGCAGTGCGTACCCACGACCCCATCATGGATCGAACCCGCGACCTTCAGGTTCCGTGGCAAGCGCATTACCACCGAACCACTGGGTAGTAATCCAGTGGTCCATATTTCCAACTTCTATCAGTTCATGACATAGCACGACCTCCTCTCATTGTCATCGTTGAGTGTTTATCCTCATGGCCACAATGTTTGCCTTACTGGTCACGACTTTTCTCTCACTAGTGTGAGCACTAGCTCAACTGAGTTTGAGGGTTTCTGAAGAGTTAAAGTTCAGGCTTGGTCCAGCGATCCTATTTGGCAAAACGTTTGAAGGTGTACCTCTGCTGAACTGTTTACTTTGACTTTTAGATGGTATTGAAAATAGGACTCTGGTAAAATTATATGGCTGAAGTTGTGCAGATGTTTAAGAATGAAACTAGTAGTTGACCTTCATTCTACAATCGACAATCGTGCAGAATAGTGTTCGGAGATGCGTTTCGAAATTGCCAGTTTTGTGTGACCTAAATATCCTGGTCAACGGGAACAATTTAACTTGAAAATACAACTTTATTAAAGAATACTGGGGATATAATAGAAATTAAAAGTAGTCAACAGGAATCCTAACTTGACTTAGGTTTCATACTTGTTGACACCTATGAACAAAGCATATTTTCAAACTTGGGGAAACTTACACCACTTCAGGAATCCAAACTTATCTCACCATGTACTACATGTTACCACAGACCTACTTGGGTTTTACATGACCTCATCTGAACTGGATAAGGTAAGTTGGTCGATCCCTGAGAAGTAGCTGATTTCATGTCATCCAGTCATGAGACCTAACTGATTTATCTCGATCAAGCTTACAGTGCAGTCGTCAAGGTAGGAAACTCACCATAGCTGTAAATGGTGTCAATTAATTGTATGTACTTCGCTGGAAGCTGTAGACGTTAGCTCCACCAATCTGATATCGGTCAGAGTACACAGGGATAGTAATTATCCTAACATAGTGACCACTTCGCAAACTGCATCGACGGAATCCACGTAACGCATGAACTTACGTAGAATAACACCTTACTCCTTAGTGATGCAATGTTATCAGGTTGCAATGTTTTCGGACTGACAGCAACTGGAGAACTACTGAAAGCGTGAGAGCTCTGGCCACCTGTTTCACACAATTATGAGACTCTTCAGCAGCGCGGATACATGACCCCGTGAAGAATTTAACTCAGGAGCTTGAGCTTTCATGGTAGACGTGTTAGCATTCAACCATTAAGTCAGAATTAAGTGGTATACATTTTCTATATTTATCAATTAGTAGTATAGAGCAACAGAAACACAATGCCACTGGCAAGTCCATCTCCTAAATTCCGACTTGGTTTACCCTTCAGATAGCGACTTTTTACTAAACCTTCGAGTAATCTTATCTCGAACCATCCATTGTTACTTATTTTTATACTTTCTTTTACTGTTATACTGTATGGGATAAAAATGAAAGCATAACTTGCCATGTATCAGCTTTCAAAATTATTATCGTAAGGCAGAAGTGATGATGACGTATGAAATGACGTTGGGAGCTTTCAGTTAGCTTGAAGAGAAATGTAACTATCAGAATAATCCATGACTCCTTTTTTTGCATTACTACTCTGGGAAATCAAGTTATACGAGTGAAGTTAGACTGCTAACTATTGTTTAGTTGTGTAAACACGTGAATATTTTTGAATAACTGTTGTAAACTGGTGGTACTTGTATTCCCCATGAGATTATAGTTTTAGCTTACATCTTGCACTGCAACACAGAATTACACATATACACTTATGCATGATTTTATAATTATTGTTTCTTTTTCTTTTATCAGCAAACTTTACGAATACTTGTATAGTATGGAAGATTTAGATAAGCGGAAGAATTTGATTGAAGCAAACTGGGTGAAAATGAAAGAACAACTACAGTAAGCAAGTAGTGTAGTCTACTGAAACTGTGTACAAATTTTTAGTAGTAACAATTAGAAAGTATTTTCTTATTGATATGACAGTATTCGGGTTGTTTTATCTTTCTTTCTCTCGGTCCCTCTCTTCCCACTTGAATTTCCCTGTCTGGAGTTTTTTGAGGTCAGTCTAGGCATCATGCTCAATGTAAACTAGTGTGGATTTGTTGTGTTCTTCGTGAAAACAGAAGATAGAAGTGAACAAAGTTGGTTTCATAGCGAAATAATCAAGATGAAGTATATTTCTTACCATTAAAATACGGGTGATCAAGAAGCAGTGAAAGCTTATCTGCACAAAGTGTCTCAGTAAACTACTGCTCATGGGGATGTCGATTAGAATATTCAACAAATAGCAAGTTAGCTACTGTGAATTATAGTTTTTAAATGTATCCAAAATATCTGGTGAACAGTAACCGGACCATCAATTGTTATTTGATACCTGCTGAAGTAAATCCTCTGGTGAGGTGTAGATATTATTTTATTCTCTTACTATAGCTTCAATGAAGGATAACAAATTTACTCTTCAAGCGTATCGCAAGTTGTGAATGTGTTTATCGTCTCTAGTGTTGCAACACTTGTAAAGGATGCATAGAATTTATTTAATAACAGACTTATTGTGATGATGACGTCTGGAAGGATTTTGAGAACGTTATCAAAAACATATAAAGTTTCTGGTTTTACTCCTTGTAATTTCTTGTCGTTGGTTGGGCTGAAATGATAGGTAGTAACATGAAAATTATGTGCCGTTCATAAGGAGTGGCTATCATGACCCAGTGCCCCCCTCTAGTAGTCAACCCTTTGATGTTTGAAGCTGCTGGCGCTAAGTTTCAGTCTGAGTGAGGATGATATTAGTCACTAAGAGGCAGGCAAATCCATCTGAAGAGTCCTACACTCCACTGCTAGCTTCTGTCCATTATAACTATCAAACTTAAAGTTTTCTCCTCGAAAAAAACTTTCAGAATGACTACATTTCCGAAACATCATTCTGATAATGCAGACATACATTATAGTAAGATTTTTAAGTATCCTTCAAGTAATTATTGTTAATACAAACAAAAATCCACAAACTAGTGCAGATAGCTTATCTGCTTTCATTGAGAAGCAACTAGGAAATAGCAATATTTTGCCGAATCAGCATGTACGTTAGTGATTTCTTTTATCGTCTATAACTCAACTGCATAGCGAATTCATTTTAAAGTTATCGGTTGTTACCTGTGCTATTTAATGAAGTTCATTACATATAAAAAGGAATTATTTTAAGGAAGTCAATCTCAAGGAAAGTATATGTAACTTCACGAATGTTACTATCTTAACAAAGAAAGGAATCGTTACCCAAACAGCATAGCTACAAATTAATTGTCAATTTAATTCATGTTTATACTTGATTCACTTTCGAAAGGTTGAGGTCAGAAGTTATTACAACTGTGCAATGTGATATTCAATGTATCTTGACTTCCCTTTACTTGGGTTGGTAGCCATATTGGAAAAGTAATCGCCTGAATTTAGTCAGTATGCAGTTGGAGACTTACTAAGTCTCCAGTAAATGATTAATGTACATTCGATTGAGTTGTTGTGAGAATTTCCTGAAAATCAGTTATGTAGTTGGTAAAATGGTTTCACATGTTGTTTTGTAATATGTTATGGGTACATATTCATCCATGTGAATCCAGCTGCATGATGCTAAAATTCAACAATTTCAAGAGTCTCCTCAATCTTATCTCGATTAAGATGAGCAAATTATACAATGATAATAAATATCAAAAAATCTTCATTTCGTCCATCAAAAGCATAAAGAGGTTACAACGACGACAATTATCTTTTCGACAGCTCATTTTCAAAGCTACACATTCGTAAATAAAATGATAGAATGTTCCAGACAGACTAGGTAAGTTTCTGCGTTTTTCTGTTGAGACTGCTGAGGCAAATACAAAAATCTTTCCAAACCACCAACTTTGAAAAGACGTATATTTGAATCTTATCAATGCTGCCCAATTTTGACTACCAGGACATGAATACAAAGTATCACAGATATCCCATGTTTTATTTGAATTATCGACCGAGGAAAGAAGTGAATTCGAAGACTACGTTGTTAGTATCATCAAGAAACAAGCTGAAAATGCTGAATTGATACTAAGGAAGAGCCTAATATAAGTTACTGTTGAAGCATTGTTTCTTCGTTCACCTGAAAAGTATGTATTCAACTACTTGAGTGCATCTCTCTTCTCCATCCAGAAGAAGGCTTTATTTTTTGCCCTTAGTTCTGTGGTTTCAGTTCGAAAGTCGACGAACTTGATACACTAAAGTTGAATTCAAGAATATGATTGGTAAGACCACAGATCTAATTCCAGCATCTAGCAGTGATCTAGATAATTTCAGATCAACCGCTGTCTACAGTTCATCAACAGTAAACCCAACCACCGATATGCTGTGTAAAAAGATCATAATAATAAATTAAAAGAATCTAGAAAAGTGAAAATATCACCATGATCCGTCCAGATAAAGATAGTAGAATAACATTTACTGACTAAGATTACTTTGACAAGATTTCACTTATTTTGCTAGATGAAAAGAAATTCTCTAACCTGGTAAATCAGAAAGACCCTACTAAGCAGACAGAAAATTAACTCAATAAACTGCTGAAGGAAATGAAAGACTAATCGCTCATTGGATTAATCTCTACAAACAACTTCATGCTTCTGGCATTACTACTGGACATTTGAATGGTTTGTTAAGTGTACAAAGATGGCGTCCTTCTTCGTTCAATACCGGGCATGAAAAACTCACTATACTATAAAATTGAAAAATGGCTCGTGGAAATTCTTAAGACTGTAAAGAACCAGCTCTTGAAACACTACGTTCCTGATAAATTTGAGTCTGCTAAGTCAGTCAAGGATACTAACTGGTCCGGGAGAAGAATGGTTTCACTAGACATCGTATCATTATTCCCAAAAGTACTATTAACAGAAACAATCTTTGTCTTGTGCAACTTCATTCACTCTAGAAATCTAGATCTTCGTCTACCAAACCACTACCTGAAAGAACTCTTAAGATGTACGTTTAAAGTTCACTTAAGATTTAATTACAAAATTTAAAGACAAAAGGATGGTCCAGTAATGGCATAGGCTCTTGAAACGCTACTTGCTGACTGCTTTATAGCTAGCCATGAGAACAGTACATTGCTCTCAACAATCAATCAACTTGATGTATGCAAAAGTCACATGGGTGACACCTTTACTGTTTGTGAGGACAGCCTGAACCTGAAATGTTTCCTTCAAAATTTTAAGGATAGCCACCCTTCAGTCAAATTTACACGAGAAGCTGAACGAAATCCGACATTTCACTCCCTTTGTGTTGAACTCCAAAGGAAGCCTGATAATTCTATTCCAAGATCTATCTAGAAAAAGCCGACTTGGAACGAGAAACTGACCAAATTTCGAAGTTAAGTGCCTTTAAGTAGGATGAAGAATCTTGTGAGTTTACTTTCATCAAGAGTTAGAAAGATATTCAGTGATAATTCGCATGTTTAAGAACAATAAATCATCCAAGAAATACCCTCAGAGAATGGCTACCTATCCAGATTTATAGCGAAAAAGTTGAAAGAAAAGAAGACTGTGGAACAAATCCATACAGCATCGGAGAAAATACTTTTAATGAGCCTCAGTTTCAAAGGTTATACAGCTGCGCACACTCTTAGTTAACGTTTGTCAAGGTCCCTTAGTAGAACATTATATGATACGAATCTCAGTATTGTGTTCTTATATCAGAAGCTGATTCATCAGTGCATGAAAGACAAGTCGAAGCATTGGGCCTCATCAATGTATATTTACAAGTTCAATTGCTTTTGTGGAGCTTCGTAGGTCGGCTGTACTATACGCTTGCTTGAAAAACGTACTTGCAAATATTACCCAGCTTGGTTGCTGAATGATGAGCACAAAACCGTTTTCAGCTACATCGTTGAACACCTCATAAGTCCCAGATATCTAGCTTTTCTGAAAATCTCGTTCTCCCAAACTGTTTAAAAGGAGTGAGGACTAGAAAATTATGTGGACTCGAACCTTATGCAATTCACAGCTTCCAATAGAAATTGTGCATTCACAAAAACGTGTAAAAACACTTTACCGTTATCTTAATCAGGTACCCTGTACTTCTTTATATTTTATCTGTTAGTTTACTTTCATGTATTACTACACGTTTATTTATTTCCTCCAGATACCAAAATCTTACTATTCACTATATTTTATTCCTTTTCGAAACTACTGAGATTATATCTTATGCTACGTAATATCATTTTATTCCCATGTATGTCTGTCGATCAAATTTGACCTCTGATCGGAAACTTATCTTGGACATTCTATCATTTCATTTATATATTTACAAACGTACATCTATGAGAATGAGTCATCAGAAAGGAAATAAATGTCTTCAAAATGGTCAGACATTACCACGGTGACTGATGAACAATACAACTATTATCTAAAATTGGTATTCATGATGGACTGATATTAGAACATTGGAATAGAACACTGGAAATGTGAGAGCACTGGACAACTGCTTCGTCCTAGTAAGGGACTCTTTAGCAGTGCGCACCTATGACTTCGCCAGGAACCGAACCTAAGACCTTCCAGTTTCCATGGCCAGCATGTTATCACTGAGCCACTGGGTTGTAATCTACTGGTCCATCTTCCCAATTTCTGTCAGTTCATGACATAGCGCAACCATCGCCCAGTGTCATCGTTGAGTATTTGTGTCCTTATTCCTCTCCAATTTGACTATCATTGTTTTGAAAATAAACTTGATACAGTATGGATATTAAAATGCATGTCATGCAGAATAGAATTTAACAACGTTAGTTGATTATAGACAATCGGTGGGAAGCCTTGGATCCAAGTTTCATGGTTATCAGCTCTTGTCAACAAGGTATATTTGAAGCCTAGAGAAAGATTGTTTCATCTCAGAGATCCTTATCATTTGAAATAATAGAAAAGATTCTGCAGCTTAGAATGAGGATGATAATTGTTTGATATTCGCCTGGACGTTTTATCACCAGTCTGGGTGACTTCACAAAAATTTGTTCACAAAAACACAGTAAGTGCTGACGAATTTGCCTAACTTAGTGGTGAAACTTCCGAGAACAACCTCATACTCTTTACTTTCGCATACAAAAAACAGGTGGATAAAAAACACTGATATCGAAATGGGTAAATCGGAGGAGAATGAATGCTATTGAAAATGTTCAAGCTTTGGAAGATATCAGAAAGTGACCGATTTTCATCCATGTCACCAAGGTTCTGCAATCGCTGATTATTGTGGTCTCAAAGACTGGAAACAGACAGTTCACGACTAAGACCAACGTTCAGAGACTTCAAAGACTGTTACCGTGTGTTGGTCTGACCACCATTGGCCTTATTCTACTTCATTCATACTGCACGTCGACATTGGCGGTGACTTGTCCAGCACGACACATTCACGCCACCTCAACTGGTAAAGAAAGTTTCACCACTACATCAACAGATTTACCTGTCTTAGCTGGTCCCTTTCGCCTAACCGTGACATCATTCACATGGTGGTTCCATCCTAGGTGCGAAATATTGCTGAAACAAGGGTGATCAAAACCTGTAATCTTTTAATATCACCCTTTTTCAGTGTTTTTGTCTCATAATAGACTGGAGTACAGTATGCTTATCCTTAAGTAGGTAGTCAAAGTCAAAGATGATGTAAGCTGGTAACTGCAAAACAAGCATTTTGTACAAGAAATTGATTGGATCATCTTTTCGCTTTTCTTTGTCTATCCAGTACACTTGAAACCATCTTCAGACAACTGGAAAAACAATATAATTCATCAATTATCCAAACAAAATCAATAAAATCTCAAATCACTTCAACCTTCTTCTTACTACAAACACAATACTATGCATTTGTACAAAATATAGATGGTAAACGTTTGTCATTGTATGATTTCAAATTTTATGTCTGGTTAAAGCGTCAATGGATTATATCAAAGCATTTTCATAAAGTAATGAATAAATTGTGTGGTAATATTAGTGTTATATTATCATTTGAATTGGTTCTGCCTGCTGCTATAATTATAAATCCCAAATCATTGTTCAACTGGATTATTTGTTATAATTCAAAGAATTCAAAGCAACAATATCGATTAATAGCATCAGTAAGTTGTTCAAACTAGTTGTTTGTTTATAAATACAACAATTTAAACTATACTCTGGTCAGTTCATTATGTCATATAGGCTTGTGTTTCGTCATTTTGATCGGCACACACATGTATAACTTATGTAGTGGAAAGTCAACAACAGAATGCTATTGTATGAATGTTAAGCATCCATGTACCTGAATGATTTATTCTAAGATGTGACAGACTGTCAGAAAACATAGAACCTTGCATTGAAGTGTAGCATTTCAACCTGCTATACTACATAGTGGTAGCATGCAAAAGAACAAGGGCATAGAAAAGGACATATCAATGAAGACGAAGGTATATGAAAGGACAAACAATTTAAAAACGAAAGTTAGTGAAAATATTCAAGCTTTAGAAGACATCAACGAATGAAAACGTCTGCTCTATTGAGGGTGATTTTCAGCCCTGTCACCAACTGTCTGCAACTGCTGATTCCTATCGTCTCAAGGATCCCACTCAGGTATTCTGCATCTACCTAAACGACTCAGACCAAAAGTTAGAGACTTCATGGACTGGTGCCACGACTTTATTTGACAGACCTGAGTGTTCTCCTCGCCTAATCTGACTGTTGTTAGGATTCCAAGTCATGGTAGGTGCTAACTCACCATGCGCAACACATGTCCATATATTTTGAGATAAATTACAATTAAGTACTTAGACTCTATACAACCAAATTTTAACCTTTCATACGCAAGTTGGTCGAAGACAGATAGCACAGAAGGAAATAAGAATCGATGTGTGTACAAAGATGTATAAATAAACAAGAAGTGTATTAGAGCATAGATAAAAAGTACTGTGTGTAATGATCTCCAGGTTTTAAATGATGCATTCTGAGCTACATTATAAAATGCATTCGAAAACCGATTCCCAGTTCTTCAGGGACCACTAACCATAAAGTTTATATTTCTCTACTTAGCTAGGACCTGTGATCAAAATTCAATGCGTTTGAATCGTGTCTTGATCTGATCAAAGTTGTATGATATTCAGCGAACGATGGTAGGGTGGAATACGTAGATCTTAGCACCAGCAGGTTCTAACTAACTCTACCCTACTATGCGTTCAATGAATTGATCAGAAGAAAGTGAACCCTTGGCTTTATAAGGAATGTTATGTTGTTAGTATTTGTCCCTTGGGTTCCTAGTGGAACACAGACATTCAGTAACAACCCTCCATTTCACTCTCTTCTCTCCACTCTTCTCAAAATCGCTCCACGACTCCCCACTAGCTTTCATTTCCTCCTCAAACCATCTCCTCCATGTCACCCTCAGCTGGGATGCCCAACTCGTCGTCTCCCCTCTGGATTCCACTCGACGGCCTCGACTGGCGCGTCATGTTCCCAATAGGCCTTCTCAGTGTATGTATGCTCAGTCCAATCCATCTCCACTTTCATCTGCTGCATATTTGTTGGGCAATGGTTCTTGGTTGATTCCTTCCAAGAGTTCCTTGTTGCTTATTCTTATTGTTTTGGCCATGTGATCTTCAGTGTCGAGTGAGCATAGGCGGTAGATGTTGATGAATGTCTGTAGTTTGTTGGAAGAGCTTTTCGTGAAGCACCAAGTTTTTCAACCATCACATAGAAGCACTGACTTACTTGACTGGCATAAGTACTGAAAATGCGGATGTTGTTCACGCTTTATGCTGAGCACAGTAGATATTCATACGGATTAATGTTGACTAATTAACTGAAAAGTCAGACAAAAAGTTTTCTCGTTGTTACAAACATGCCTTTTTTGATCAGGACCAAAACGTAAAGACCCTTGATTCACGCGTTTATGACTCCAAATGTCTTGTAATACACAAAGAATACCGTCTCTACTAGATTAGTCTATTTTGCTATACCACTCTGTTATAAAGTATTGTCTACTAGATGACGTCTTGATTACACTTTGTTGTTCATAATTATGTTGAGGTAATCACACAACCTACTGTCTTAGTTACTTTGTTGGTCAGATAGCTTTTCATTCTGCGACTTCATCAGTATTTAGAAATCCCATGTACCTAGAATCAATGTCAAACCATTCCTAGTATGTATGTTAAGCATTGAATCGATGGAAAAAGATTCTGTGACCAACCTGTTTCTCCACACACCTAGATTAGAATGTAGGGTTTACTGTTTGGTTTTGTTAACGCATGGATGTATATGAGTGATTACTACTCCACACTGCTCATCTTAGTAGGGTCTACTTACTTAGACTTAGCTAAATCCCTACGTTCTGATCATCTGATTTACCCTGATTGGCTGGTGTGGTCTACATGCTTAACCTTACAGTCATTACAAGCTACTTGGTAAGTCAACTTATTTTATCTAACTGGATTAATGGAATTCTTCAACTAACAAAGCTCGATGCTAGAAAGTTGATTTTCAGGTATGAATACCATCCTAAACATAGCTTTACTGAGAATGACACGTAAGCTCTTCGATTTCCCGCTACATTCCTTCCTATTTGTGTTGAAACAACTACTCATATCACTGCCTTTTCTGATTTTGTGAGTGTTTATGAATTTCTGAATAAATGTAGAAGGATATTAACTAAGCGGTAAAGCTTTTTTTTCTGTGTTCCACTTCTTCATTGAAACTTATTCTTGACTTACTAGATAAATTCTTGGACCGATTACTAGAACATTTAACTAAAATGATATAACCTATTATAAATATGTATGAGAGTGAAAACTTGAAAAATAACCTTCAGATTTCACCCTTGAGGGTCTCTCACTTTTTCTGTGAATGGAAAAGGCAGTAAGTAGGTGAATCGCAACATTAAATTATCTAAAAAGAAAAAACACAACTGTTTATATATTTTTATAATGGTCTTGACTGTTTTAAAGTTTTTCTAAAACATCGTATCCTATTGAGTTTCACCTCTTCAGATAGTCTGACACACAGGGTCATGTGATTTTTCTAAAAAAAACGTTTTTGCTACATGATTGGTTGTGAAAGGCTTCAGGGATTTTGAGCTTCTGATGAAGATCTTCACAATATTAGTGCACACTATACCTAAAAATGGTTGCATCTCTAAATACTTCTTCTTCGACTTTATTTTCTTAAATAGTTCAAGGTATAGAAGTCATTTTTAACTGTTACAACTATTCACATGACATTGTTGTCAAACCGTTTTAGAAAATTACATTTTTTTCTATTTTTGTTTAAAACTCTCTTAGATCATTAAACCAGGTGATAAAAACTTATTTAACAATGGAGTAATTATCACATCTATCCGCTTATTGATTCATAAGAGTGTAAGAAATGAAATCAATAAACAGTTGAAGAGTAATTCTAACAAATTATTCAGACTAACTGAACCTGTACACCTACGAATAACTATTGTGCCAATTGGAACATTTAACAACATGAATGTTGTCAATGCTATATGGATTGAATCATGGCCACCTAACAACGATACAGTTTGTACGGATATATCTTTGGTACTGACAAGTGATCAAGATTTGTACAATGATGTCTCACAGATTTATCTAATTACTGACTATACCGTGTAAACTGTTTACTAACTCACAGTATTAGTGATCAATCTTTTTATTCAAATGTATTACTTAAACAAAGAATTTCAGTAAATAAAAATATTTCAAAGAAATAACTGTCGTTGTTCTATAAATTTACTAAGGTGTACACAGTAGACGATTACAATGAAGAAAAAGTTTTCTTTTTGATGAAATCATTCTCTAAGCTGTTCATTTCTTAGTATATAGTAGAAAGGAGAGAACATTCTGAAGTAATTTCTGGTCAAAAGTCAGTATGAATTGAGTCACAAAAAGGTGTTGTGCAATGGGGCATTAACCAGAATGATAATACAATAAAAATAGTTACACCATATATGGGTTATCTAGACTGATTGACGATTTACGATGGCCATGGCAAAGAAGGAGGTTGTACATACTTCTCTTGAAGGCATATTGATGGTATGAATATTTCAATATCTAATGTCTCACTCATGCCTAGATGCTTTAGCATCACTACTTTCCAGTGTTTTGGTGCTAGTTCGTGTAGAATTTCCAAAGACTTATCAAAACGAGTCAAATATCCTGAGTTTATACAGTGTTCTTTTACAGGACTGAGGATGCATTTCCGTTCTCCTCTTGTCAGTCAAGCTGGATGGTGTTTGCGAGTGCGCTGCATAACTTGTCGCATGGTATAACCAATGTACTTGACTCCACAGGAGCAAGTAATCTGTACAGCCTCTTTCTTTGCCATGGTCATCGTAGACCACTCTAGATAACCCACAAATGGCGCAGCTGTTTTTATTACATAACCACCTTGTTTCACTCCATATTGCGTAACTACTCTTTGGGATCATTGACTAGAAATTAATCTGGAGTGGTCAATCCTTTTTATTCTATATTCATGAATGTACAGCTAAGAGAATGATTTTATGGGAAAGAAAATTTTTTTACTCACTAAAATCGCTTGCTGAGTTTTCCTGTGTTCAAATGGGATTGTTTTGATATCCTGAGAGTGTCTTTAAAGGACATAGCTCAAAGTAGAAATAATACAATTCAGATGGTACATAACTGTGAAATTTCACCTTATTTTCTATTAAAAGCTTTAATATTCAATAACATACAAAACACAATTTTCTCGACACTAATACTGATGTCAGTGATGTGAATTTGAGAGCTGCACAATCCATACTACTGACTGACATAAGTAGCTATAAACCAATTTGTTCAATTAAAGTTCTCTCTAGTCAGATTGGGGTTATTTAAACACTGGACAATCCTATGTTTCGTTTGGCTTCTGGCATCTGCTCAAATCAGTTCAGCCTAAACAGCTGAACTGCACAAATTACTTTAATTTTGACTTATCATTTGAGCAGGTTGATAACAATTATCATGATTATTTGTCCCTTGGGTTCCTAGTGGAACACAGACATTCAGTAACAACCCTCCATTTCACTCTCTTCTCTCCACTCTTCTCAAAATCGCTCCACGACTCCCCACTAGCTTTCATTTCCTCCTCAAACCATCTCCTCCATGTCACCCTCAGCTGGGATGCCCAACTCGTCGTCTCCCCTCTGGATTCCACTCGACAGCCTCGACTGGCGCGTCATGTTCCCAATAGGCCTTCTCAGTGTATGTATGCTCGGTCCAATCCATCTCCACTTTCATCTGCTGCATATTTGTTGGGCAATGGTTCTTGGTTGATTCCTTCCAATAGTTCCTTGTTGCTTATTCTTATTGTTTTGGCCATGTGATCTTCAGTGTCGAGTGAGCATAGGCGGTAGATGTTGATGAATGTCTGTAGTTTGTTGGAAGAGCTTTTCGTGAAGCACCAAGTTTTTCAACCATCACATAGAAGCACTGACTTGCTTGACTGATATAAGTATTGAAAATCCGGATGTTGTTCACGCTTTATGCTGAGTGCAGTAGATCTCCACACTGATTGATGTGATGATGTGTAGCGTACCATTGCAATTTGATGCGCACACAATTTGTTCCTTCTGAAGCCAGCCAGGCTGTTCCGGTCATAATTTTGAATTCAGCGTATCCTTTGGTTTCTCCAGGATGATGCGGCTTAATATTTTGCTTAGGGTGGACAGGAGCATGATTCCGCGCCAGTCCCTGTTCTTGCAAAGACTTAGGTCTCCCTTCTTCGGGAGTTTGACAATGTAACCTTTCTTCCAATCAGCCTGCAGGTACCTTTCTTTCCTTCCTCCTAAACCTTCTGCAGTAGTGGAGTGGGCTTGTTTGCTGTTGTCTCTGCGTCTGTTCTCAGTGCTTCTGGAGGTTGTCCATCTGGTCCTGAGCTGATAACAGTACATCAAACCAATTCCTGTGATTGAGAACTACATTAGTGATGGATAGTGGCTAGCAGTGGAATCCAGGATGCGCGTTTTGTCCTATACTTGTTGCACAAGAAGCGGCTATCGTGGCTCGGTGGTCTAGTGGATGACGCTCCGACGTTTGAAACGACCGGTCCGAGTCCCGGTGGGAACTACGTCACTCACTTAGAGGCAGGCACATCCATCTAACGAGTCCCAAATAGGACGAAACGTGCATCCTGGATTCTAATACTAGCGACTATCCATCATTAATATATATAATTAAAACAAAGACAATATTGAGACATTCGTACAAGAGTGCATATACCAATGGAGACAGATCAATTCGGTCCAGTCAACGATGGGATAATGCAAGCAATAACACTGATTGAGAACTAATTTGAATATTTCCAATGTCTTGATTTAGAGAAACTTTTAATTCCCTAACTATACTATAGATATCAGACAAGTTTTCTTAGCGTTTAGCATCTGTCCATAGTACTGCATGAACGACGTGCAGATTTCGCTATCCACATCAGAGTGATCAAACTATTAGAAGTCAGTTTTCTTCGTTTTGGGGTGAATTTTTGTCATATACCCAACCAACCAATATCACTGACCAGTGAGTGCGTTTTGGAAGTAATTTGTTAGTTGATTATCTGTTATGGAGTAGGTGGAGTATAATGGTAACCAGACCCATCCATGAAGGGGCTGATTCTCATTTAATCCAAATAAGAAGACAGTGGGCTGTATACCTACAGTGCTTGAAGTCTCATTTACTATAACACAAACGCAATGAAGTGAAGGCAATGTACCTACTGTTTGTCTTCTCTCGTAGGCATTTCGAGTTTTTAGATCATATAATTCATCTATATTATCCAGTTTCCTCTTCTGAGTATTTTATTTGCTGCTATTTTTACTACTATTAAGGTTACCAGTATGTTTCTTCGCAATATATCTTGTGCCTAGTACTTCTTTCTGAGTAGAACATTCATATAAACCGCACATGAAAACCTGACATTCAGGTGAACGGTGAACTTTCTGCCGACTATCTGCACTTGACAAATAAAAAGACTCAGTCCAGGGAAGAAAGAAACAATCATAAAAAAGGAATGATAACGTCATGAGTACACGTCAGATACGATATTACGGCAACTATGAAAAATAGTAGTAGTACTAGTAGTTGTTGTTGTAAGGAAGGTAATGCAAACCAGAAGAAAGGAAAGATAGGAATATTGCTCTTCCTTTTTACATGTAAAAGTTTACCTTACTACCTACATGGAAAGCTGCATGACAGTTTAGAGGGAGACATATGCATTCATGTGAACCATTAATATCGATGTGATCCATATTCCTGAGTATCCGACCACCGATTTTCCTTGAACCCAAACAGAAGTATTCATTTGCATGGTTGACAGCGACTAATAGTCAGAGACATGAGAGATCGACGCCATGCTTTGGTATGAGCGCCTATAGCATATTTCCAGTCTAAACCTACTTCAGCGAACGCTGCACAACGAGGCAGGTGGTGACTGCGGAGCAGTAGTATATATCCTGGTCATCTGAGTCTCTGAATGTTCACAACCTTATCGATTGAATTAATTACATGCAGCCACCATGACATACGGCTTATACCACGAAAGCAACGGTGGTTAAACATATGAAATCTTTGTTTCCTACCTTTATTGGCCATATTCCACAGTCATATAATAGAACGCGGCGAACTGTAGTGCAACACAATCGGTCTCTAAATAAGCAGTCATACCTCACGACGACACAATAGACGGCGTATGTTTCCAGAGGCCAAGTGTACTTTCTGTATTCATGCAGATATTTTATCAGTCACTGACACACTAAAGCTGCTCCAGTGACCAGTTCACTCGACCAGTCCACTCCTATAGTTAGGCTAGGTGCCAACATAGACCAGTCGTTATACAACAGTTTTCATTTGAGTGGTGAGGAGTACAAACCAACGATTCTCGAATTGATACTCAAGGTGTTCACAGGACTCTATCTTATCAGCATCTGGATCTGACAGAACTATGTTATCTGTGTACTATAGGTCTACTAAGGAATCTCCAGTCATAAGGTCAGTATTATTAAAGCCGGATAAAGAATGCTGACCTCTGTGGGTAGGCTTATGACAGAATTAAATAAACATGAAGAGAGTGAATATCCTTGATATACACCACTCCATACTCACCTGACACTTCACACGGAAAGAATTCTCTAGTAATGAATGGTCAGCGTGCATCAAAATGGCAGATGTTTAATGTGGAAATATTTGCGTCATGGATATAAAGTATAAGGTAGTAAATAGTCTACAGTTACATATTACCACATACAATTATTTCCAACATTTGGACGCAATTCATGAAATCAAGTTTCAAATTTCTATCAGGTAAGTGACATTCAGCACATCCAGTTTTCACTATATCATCATCAGTTGAATGATCAAGTAAAATTTTTAGTTATTACGCTATTCAGAAAAGGAAAGAGGATGAAACGACATAGTCACCATGAAGGTTTTTATTCATTCACTGGCCAACATAATTCCTCAACGGGAAACAAATTGCAAAACACAGGAAATGTATAATGCAGCAAATTGTAGAAGAACGGCTATCCATACAACTTCATCAAAAGATGTTTGTCTAATTTAACGTCAGCCAAAAAGTTACCCAAGTAAACCAATAAACGGAACGTCTGACCTCACATGAATAAAGTATCCGAGATCGTAAGTAGATTACTGAAACTTTTTAAAACATTGTAGCCTACAAAGTCTCTTCACTCACTGCTATGCAAGCCAGGAGATACAATACAAAGGAAGACAGGTCAAACATTATCTACAAAATGAACTACAGGAACTGCGAAAAACACCACATAGGACAAAGTGGTCGCCCTCAATATAAAAATCAACTAGCAGTGAAGAGTCACGAAATATCTTCGCTCATATCAATACATAGAGACAATTGTGGACATAAATTCGATGGAGAAATGTGGAAACACTGGATAGCGAAAATACAAAAGATATTAGAGGACTTTTCGAAGTTCGGCATTCAGATCAGTCAGCGATCAACAGACATATTGACACTGACCCAATCAATCAACCAATCAGAAAAAAAACAAAGAGAAGGTCATAGTTCACCTCGATAAGACAACCAGTCGAAATAGGTATGGAGACAATGACGAAATTTTAACGAAAACAACTAATCGCACGCAAGATCATCAGGACAAGCTAGCAAGCCACTAGTGAAACGAATCCCAAAGCTCACTTTTTCAAAGTTTGTGTTCCTGATGGTGTCTAGAATGAGAATATAGACTTCCAGATTAAACCATCCAGCTTAGAGACCACAACACCATCAAATTAGCATTGATTTGAATAGCCTACTTCCAAAACTTCAAAGTAAAAGATGATGGATGAATATCAACGGGATGTTTAACAGTTAACAAGAAACAAAAGGAAGGCTACTGCCAACAAGAACTTCAGTATGCATTAATGGCTTTCGAGGCTCCAAAATTATTCGCGCAAATGGAATCAAAGAAAGTAAAAGAGGATGATCAGTTATAGAGGCAAACTGGAAACCGTGTCAGAAAGCATGAAGATCCAAGCGTTTTCAACTGTTAAATCTCAGACAAATTACCCAGACTAATATACTATGATAGGAATAATGTTAACAGACGCGAAAGATGAAAGCAACCTGAAGTCTGAGATATGAAAGGATGAACGAACTCGTATAGCTCAAGTAAGTGAGGTGGGAAGGTTTCAGAAAACCTAATAACCAATGTTTCCTGTGTAAAATGTAGACTTACAATTTGTCCAGAATCTTCTTTAATGGTTTCACAACACGGGATAACGATTCACTTACTTCAATGCTGATCAATGCGAAAGAAAACTACGTTGTACCAAATCCATTAGTAATTTATGCTACATGATAAGGTTCTTTAGCATTAATTTCTGCTTTTTGCTAACCAGTAAGTCTTGCATTCTCAGTTTCCCCTTCTTTTATTGATCAAAGAACTGTGAATGTTTCATTCAAAATATTTGTACGCATCAGTTTCTTCTATTCATGACCGAAAGTGTTTCAGAGTAAACCCAGGCTGTTGTGTTCACTTATCAGTAGGCACAGATTATAATTATTTCCGCCTTTAATTAAATATTACAATAGTACTAGGCAGAACCATGAGTTTTGATATCCATGCTGCAGAGTAGCTAGTAGTGGAATCTATAACACGCGTTTCTTCCTATTTGGGACTCTTCAGTTGGATGTACTTGCCTCCTAGTGACTGATGTTCCCACTAAGATTAGAACTTAGGACCAATCAGGCCAACGATCGCAAAACAGGATGAAACACACGTTCTGGATTCCACTGCTGGCCCCTTTCTATCACTAATGCTAAAACTAAACATACTGGCTATATCAAAGTATCCGTATACAAGCACATATACCAATAATGGCCAATCTGTTCGGTCCAGTAAATGACAGAGATTTACAAGCTATGATATCTAAAGAACCATAAGTGTTTACCAAGAAATGTTTAAACCTAGCATAATGCTTAGCGAAGGCTAATCAAGTGACTGAATGTCTAACGATTAAAAATACTGAGTACCAGTAAATCTTCAGTGAAATAATCCAAGTCAGCATGCATTAAGCACGTCGTATACTGTGTAGGATTCACCTTTAGTCAAAACCTAAATGGATCGAATCGAAGTCGAACTAATCACTCATTGGTTAAAAGTTGACTGCGTGAATAATTATAGGTCCAACTTCAGATTGTCAAGGAGGACAAGTAAGTAGAACCTTGTACACAAGTACATTTGTTCAAATTGCCACACTTCATATTAGTATAAAAAGAACAGGCAGAAAAAGAGTGATATCAAAGTAAAAAAATTATGTAAAAGAGTAAGCAGTTTGAAGGTAATGATCAGAGCAAATATTCAAGCTTAGGAAGACGTCAAGTGAATACAATTGCACCGATTTACAGCCATATCAGGAAGAATTCTCAACCACTGATTCCTATCGTCTCCGACGCCCCAGCTAGGTAGTCTACACCCTCCTCCACCAACACACGGTTAAAACCAAGAGTCAGAGATTTCATCGATTGGTGCCATTGTCTGAGTCTCACAACCCTGAACTCTCTTCCAAACTAATCTAACTTCCCCTGGCATAACACGTTGAGGTAGGCGGTAGCTCGGCATACGCCAGTAAGACTGTAGGAATGACTAATAACTCTCTTACAGATGCTTAATCAAGAAGTGAAGAAGTGAATAAAATGCAAAATAATCTGTTTCTATTCACTTGAAATAGTAAAATAAGTCTACAAAACAAAATAAAACCTAAAATTAAAGCTTTCGAGACATACATAGATATATGAGTAATAAATGGAAATTAAGCTAAGCCCTTTCAGTTTATATCACTCACTAATTGATTACTTAACTTTATAATATTTTCTTTATTCAAATAATTAATATTCCATCCTTCATGTGTTGTATCATCGCTTACATTCAATTGAATCAATTGTTTAGCCAATGTAATATCATTTAAGTAACTCATATCTAATGAATGAATTAATTTGCTTATATTTGATTTATATCGATAAGAATTTTCACCACATGGTACTTCCCATATTACACCACATAACTCTGGTACAAGTTGTTGCCATAATTGTACACGTGATCGAATATATCTTTTTGATAAAATACTTAAATCACCAACAAAATCAGAGAAATTCAACATTGGACCAAGCCAACAGCATACACAACACTGTTCCACATATATACACATTCCTTTATGATTACATGTTTCTTCAATTGAACATTTTCTCTGAATTATCTGTAGTGTATTCTTATCACAAGTATTTGCATAGCTTAACACTGTAACAACCTGAGCTTTAGGGAATTTATAATCTGTAAAACTATCAATAATGTTTCATTCAATGTTGTAGACCAATGGGATAAAATATTGACAGGTTAGAAGATATCTGACCAGTACATGGAAGTATCATTATAGTCGATTGTTGCTCTTGCTGTCCATCTTCATCTTCTACTTGACTGTAATTACGCAAGAAGTCAGTAACTGTCGACTTTCCATATAGTTCAAAAATATGCAAACCAGGTGATTGACGAGTATGATTTATAAATCCTAAATTAGTATAAAATCTTTCTAATCCAATACAATCTTGATAAGATAATTTAATATAATTACCATTCAGTGTAATCACTTCTTTGCAAAGTCTACTCATCATCATATGTCCAAGACCTTGACAACGAAATTCTGGTACAATATAGAATTGATCCAAAATTAAACCGAAACCACCGTGTAATGGTGAAATATTTGTAAAGTAAATCATACAACCAATTGGTATAGTTGTTGTGTTCTTTTGGGTTATTTCTTTGATAGAATTATCAGGTGTATGCATTAAAAGAAATCCTTTTAAAAAATCAATTTTAAATATTCGCTCAAATTCATCTAGTCCCATTAAACATTTAACCTCAGTACCATAATGATGTCTGAATAAACATAATGTAAACTCATAAACTTGACTTAAATCTGATAACTGAATACTTTTTATGTGAAACATAAAGATGAAATATCAAATAATAAATTAAATTCAGTAAAAAAAAGAAACAATAATCGTTGAGATAGGTATTCAATAGTGGATGAATTGTGATGTACAATTCGATAAAACATGATAGTGAGGAGAGAAATAAGCAGGCAGCAGTCTAAGCGTATATATGTTTATCTTCAAATTGAGAATTAATTACATCATTTGTCTAGTCAATAAATCCACTTGATCACATGATTTCAATGTACAAATGAAATAATGTCAGGAAGGAACAGAAGAATAGTTTTAAGATTTAGCGGAAGAAAAGGCTGTTCTATGTGAGCTTTAGTAAACTATCTACTGCTGATCTTTAAACGTCAATTCTGTTTGTCATATGAACATAAAATAAAGACCTATGAAGTTACAACAGTAAGCAACTTTTAGGGCTACAGTTATATTTCTTGGCTTGATCATTCTACTATTAATCGAAGCAGGATAGCATTATGACGTAGGCGGAAGCTAAATAATTTTTTAAGTTGATAAATGTCTCAAATCATACTGATAGACTAACATTCTAAAATTATTAGTAGCACTGCTCACTTACTGATTTAATTGCAAGTAGATAACACTCTCAAAAAATCAGCAATCAAACCAGTTTAAAGTACAAACATCGCTGATTCCCAGTAGTCATTAAGACGTAAAGCGATGAGCATTCAGAAGTGAAAATAAAATGCTTTCTTTCATATCCACTTTTAGTTACCCTGAGTATGGAAAGTTATTCCAACGTAGGAAGTGCCCAAAAATAGTATTTTTCACTGCTCGAATTTAAAGCGATGAGTTCCAGACAGGACGAAACACCCGTTCTTGGTTCCATTGCCAGCCACTATCAGACAATAATATCAAGATTGAAACGATAGGCAATATTGAGGCATCCGCTCAGGAGCCCATATATCAGCAGTCGCCAATCAATTCGGTTCAGTCGACGACGGAGATTCACAAGCTACAATATTAAACAAACCATACGACGCCCATCGAGCAAGAAGTGGCTATTGTGACTCAGTGGCCTAGTGAATAGCGGTCTGATTTTTGAAACAACTAGTCCTGGAATCGAGTCTCGGTCGGGAGGCTGGTATATCCAGCTGATAAGTGCCAAACAAGACTAAATGCGTGTCGCGGATTCCACTCCTAGCCATTACCCATCAATACTATCAAAATTGAAGCGACTTTTCTAAAAATCAGTACCAAAGAGCATCTGTTGAACATAGCCAGACCAGTTATACTAACTGACAAATAAGTCAAATAAAAGCAAATGGTTACCTTCTATTCCCCAAAATCCATTTACTTATTTGGTCTTGGGAGTGACTCGTTCCCCGACTTTACAGAAGCTCATTCCCTTAAATCCATCTAGGAGAGATATATTTCGTAGACTGGTAACATTTTGATCCCTTCAAGATTTCGTTTACAGTGAGGTTTTTCGATATATTTAATTTTCATATGTCTAATCGATAAATGCTCACACCACTACTGCAGAAGGTTTGCAAGGAAGGGAGGAAAGGTATCTGCCAGCAGATTGGAAGAACGGCTACCTTCTCAAACTCCCGAAGAAGAGAGACCTAGGTCTTTGCAAGAACTGGCAAGGAATCATGCTCCACTCCTGTCTACCCCAAGCAAAATATTAAGCCGCATCATCCTGGAGAGACTAAAAGATGCTCTCGATTCGAAATTACGACCGGAACTGGCTGGCTGGACTCAGGAGGAACAAATCATGTGCGGATCAAATTGCAACGCCATGCTTCGCATCATCATAGAACAGAACAGAATAAGAATGGCAGTCAACTCAACACAACCTCAACTTAATCGACTTTGCAAAGACCTTCGAAAGCGTCAACCGACAAGTAATATGGCAGCTGCTGCTTCAACACTACGGTTTTAGTGCTACAAACCTTTATCAACCTCATTCAACAGCTTTATGAAGACGCCACATGCCAAGTGATTCAAAATGGAAAGCTGCTCAGTAATGCCTTGAAATGAAGACAGGAAGGAGTAAGACAAGACTGCCACCTACTATCACCGATCATCTTCCTGGTTGTGGTCGACTGGACAATGCTACAAATTGTGAGGAGCGAGAAGATGGGCATACGCTGTTTGACCGATGAAAACACGCCAGAAGATTCGGATTTCGCCCATGTTGATTTATGTCTAATCTCTTGTGGCATAAACTCGAGGATCTACAGGCGAATACTAACAAGTTGACAGAAGAGGCAGCGACGATGAGACTTCAAGTGAATGTAAAGAAGACAGAGGTGATGAATGTACCCAACCAACAATAGAATCAACAACAAGCACCAATCAGCATTAACGGGAGTAACCTAAAGAAAGTAATCTCTTTCACCTACCCAGGCAGCATCGTTCCAACTACAGGCAGCAGCGGCACACATGCGCATGTCAAAGCCAGCATCGGAAAGACAGCAAGATAGACCTTCATTCATTCATCTGAAATCAGTGTAGAGATCTATTCCACTCCACTCACCATAAAGCGTCAACAACATCCGCATTTTCAATACTTATGTCAGTCAAGTAAGTCAGTGCTTCTATGTGATAGTTGAGAGACTTGGCACGTTACGAAAAGCATTTCCAACAAACTATAGACATTCATTAACAGCTGCCACCTACGCTCACTCCATACTCAAGATGGTCAGAATAATAAGAATAAGTAACAAGGAACTCTGGCTGGCCCTCCAACGAACCAACAAACCATCGTCCAACAAATATGCAGAAGTGGAGATGGATTGCATTAGGCATACACTGAGAAGACCGATTAGGAACATTACCCGCCAGTCCAGATCGTCGAGTGGAAGCCGAAGGGGAAACGACGAGTTGGGTGTCCCAGCTGAGGGTGACATGGAGGAGATCGTGTGAGGAAGAAATGAAAGCTTGTGGGGCGTCGTGGAGCGAGGTTGAAAAGGCTGCAGAGAAGGAAGTGAAATAGCGACGTGCTACTGAAACCCTATGTTTCACTAGGAACCCATGGGATAAATAAATAATACCGAAAGACATGCTTTTCTGTAGTATATACAACTTTTTAATTAAAAAAAAAACACATTCTATACAGTTTTCGTTACATGTACAACCCAGTTTCCTTGTTCATAAAAAGATTTTTCAATTCTTAAAACAGGTACCCGTGAGATAAGATCATCCAATTCACCTTGAATAAACAAATGGTAATAACGACCATACATTGATTCCGGCAATCCGTTGTTTGAATCTGTAACAACAAACAACAACCATCATTTAAATGTTACACTGATCTTGGTGACTAGCAGAGGAATCCAGGATCCGCGTTTCGTCCTACTCGGGACTCGTCAGCTGGATATGCCTGCATCACAGTGAGTGATGATATATATATATATATATATATATATATATATATATATATAAGCTTGATCTAAAAGCTCAATAATAAAGACGTTAACATGAATCGCCTTACAGCACATGTGTTGAGCACTCTGAGGGACCACCAACCTCAACATCCAATGACAGTAGAATTTTGATTAGGTTGGACGAAGGCTCAGGGTGACAAGATTAGTGGTTTGGAATTCTCAAGAATGATTTTTCAACATAGGGGGTGGATAACAGTCATGAATTTACAAGTGACAGAACACTGGAATTTTCGGGAAGGCATTAATGTCATTAAAGCAGTTTTTTTATTGACTAAGTACTGATGGAATGACAACCGACTATTGGAGTTGTAGTGATACATGATGTGGCCTAGTGATATGTACTCATGAGGTCAGAAATATTAAACGGTTGAGTTCGAGTTACGTTATCCCTCGAAACCCAAAATGAATACTGATAACAAAGTGTGAAACCAACCGCTGACATGCTATTGTGTACATCATGAAACAAAACTGCTAATTATTTACAAGACATGAAGTTTACAACTAATATAACTAAGTAAATGATGAACGAGTAAAACAATAAAAGTCATTAGAAAGCTAAGGATCTCGTGTCAATATATTTAAGACTACCTTTCTGTATTTAATCTGGAGGTTTCTGGGGATTCATTAATTGATTTCAGGTTGGAATTCATTATAGACTGACACTAGTTGAAGGAACATCAGAAACCTAAGAGCACTGGATAGCTGTTTTGTCCTAGTATGGGACTCCTCAGCATTGCACACCCATGACCCTGTACCTCAGGGATCGAACCCAGGACCTTCAGGTTCCATGGCCAGAACCTTACTATTGAGCCAGTGGGTCGAAATCCAATGGTCTATATTTCCTACTCCTATCAGTTCATGATGTAGCAAGACCTATATCCAATGCCGTCGTTGAGTAACTGTCTTCATGTTCGACTAAACTGGCTCCACTGGTCACGACTTCTCATCGGAATTGTGGAAATCATCTCTCGAAGCTGGCCACCAATGAGCGCCAGATTAATTCAATTTGGAGGTTTGTGGAGAATTCCAACTTGAAAGCAATGAATAATAGTAACGACTAAAGTCTGCTAATTGCATTGGAAATCCTGTGGGATGAAAGCTGAGGGAAATTCAATCTGAGCATTAATATATTGAATTGTTACCTGTCAGACATATTCCGCCTGTCACAAATTTACGCATCAACCATTTTACAGTTCTTTAATCTACTTTCCTTTGATTAATTCATTAGATACGCCATACAAAATAATATAGCAACATCAAGAAAACAGAAACGTGGAAGAGGGAATAGAAACAAATACCAACATGGATTAATAAAGAAGCAACCACAAAGATACGTGCAAAGAAGCATCCACTACGTTCCAGCATTAAAAGAAACAAGAAAGCTGCAATGTTATCATCACTGCTTTCAATTTGGAACCGCATCAACAATCGTCTCAAACAAGTGAATCATGTAATCTCTTGAACTTCGACCCAGGGAGTCATGAGGCACCGATAGATGCTAAGCTGACAAAACGATCCTTCATCCAACGGCGTATTTTGCCATCCCTTCGCTTCTTCCAAAAATTCGCAAGACAAGCAAACAGTGATTGGAGTAGGAAAGCTGCTGGAACATATACAACACATCCTAGCCATCTGAAATCGTGTTTCAAGATAACCTTACTCACTGAATGACGATACCCACCAGCCTAAATACTTACATGATGTTTCCCCTGAGTGAGAGAGCGCATGTGTTGAGTACTCTGAGGGACCACCAACCTCGACATCCAATGACAGTAGAATTTTGACTAGGTTGGACGAAGGCTTAGGGTGGCAAGACTAACACACGGCAGCAGTCTATGAAGTCTCTGACTCTTGGTCTGAGTCATACAGGGGGGTGTAGACTAGTTGGTTGGGGTCCTCAAGACCATAGGAATCAGTGGTTAGGGACTCTTTGTGACATGGTTGAAAATCGGTAACAATGGTACAGATGTATTCCCTTTTTGACGTTTTTTAAAGCTTGAATAATTTTACTAACTTTCGTTTTTAAATTCCTTGTCTTTCATACACCTTCGTCTACCATGATATCAGTCTTTCTCTATACATTTGTTCTCTGCATGCTACTGGAAAGTGTGGTAACTTGATATGATGAACTTTTGTGCGAGGTTCCACGTTGGTTCTGTCCATCTATCTGCTGAGTGAACACGCAAAGCCCTCGAACATCCTCCGATCGGAGGCCAGGTTTCACAGGCATAGCGAAGTAACAATCGTACTAACCTTTTACAGAAAGGCTATCGTCACGATTGGGGTATGCCACTATGGCTTTTGATAAACTGCTCGAAGTACCATCAATCACGCCTGCACTAGCACTCACAGCTGCCCAGGCACACAAACGCTTCAATAACTTTCAGAGATTCATCACCAAGGGTGACTTCAGATACAGGCACTTGCCAATCTTATGCGAAGCATATCCCGTAATTATTAATACCGGTCACTAACTTATGATGTACAATTTGAACAGCCTGTATTTAGTCGTATAGTAAAACGACAGGGCTTGCTTACACGAATTCCGAAAGTCACTCACCTGATAACACGTTTGCAACCGCACTACCCACTTCAGAGCTGTCACAAAAACGTGATCGATGGAGAAGTTGAAAAGAAATGGGAAATCGAGAAGCCCTACCTACCGCCACTGCTGGGTTGACACAATGAAGACATGTGGTTGCATACTTCTATTCTACTTGATATGTTCAACGAACTTTTCAGGAACTCTCCTTTAATACACAATCCTAAAGTACATCCCTGTCTATTGAATTAAAACCAGACCTGTTATCACAAAACCCAACGAACGTTAGCCTGCTATACTTGTGATGGTATTTAAGCATTTGACAGAGGGTAAACATGTGATCAATGCATCTGGGCTTCAGTCAATTGGAGCACAGGTAAAGTTGATGGAGAGATATCGTTCCCTTTGATAGTTATTTCTCACTCCAATCACACCTTGCAACCGAGCAACAAACACATAACAATCAACGGGAATCCAGTTGACTAGAGTAGCTTCAACTGTAGTTCTTGGTATAACACTAACACCAACAGCTGGTGCTACACGGTTACCGGATGAGCATACAGCAAACACGTTATTGAACTGACAGATAGAGAAGTTTATCGAAGCACTGGGATCTTGAATCCAGATCTTCGCGATGCAACGAACATCAAGAGCGAGGCTCTCTAGCGTCGTGACCAAATCAGCCTGTTGTCCGACCTACATCAGGATCTGAAAGCTTAAGGCAGTTAGCTTAAACAGTATGGATGATCTCACGATATTTGACTTAGATATTGCAATGACGCAGAGCTTTCTGTGAGCGACTGTCTTGCAACTTAAGACAATGTAAATAGACTGGAATTTTTGTCAGTGACAAGTAGGCGAGTGGAGCAAACACATAAAAACAAATTCGAAAATGATAAGATGACGGTATGGTTTAGTCGTAAAAATAAAGTTCTAAAGATAATTAACTGAGTCATTGGGAAGAAACTACGTCAAAAGAAGATTTGGCAAGCGCTTTGCATGCTTTGATTATAAAGACCAATAAGTCCCATTTACTTGTTAGAACGCAAACATGGACAAATAAGGGAACCAAGAAATGCGCCATATAAAATAACGTAACACTGTTCTGAAGACATAAAGCGAAGGGAGGTGAATAAAAATAAATAAAAACCAAATAAGAATGGAGTTATTAGAAAGACAGTTCAATATGATACATCCAAAACAAAACATTCATTACTTTTCAGTAACAGTAGATAGAAGCAAGCTACAGCATGATCGCCACTGGTTTCGATTCTGAGCCATATCTGATAATGCCTCGAGCTACTGAGTTGCGTGATCTCTCCGACCCCACCCAGGGAGTCGTGGTGCATCAACAGATGCGGACTCGACACAACTATCCTTCATCCCAGGGTGCCAGTGACCACCCCTCTGCTTTTTCCATCTACTCCAGGGCCAGCAAACAATGAACGGTGTGGAAGCCGTTGGGACGATAGGCGTAACACATGCCAAGCCATCGAAGCCGATGTTTCCAGATGACTTCACTTATTGAGTGACGATCTCCACCATACCCAGATTCACGCTGTTGTACCTCAGAATTACTTACATGGTATGGCCACCGGAAGCAAGCAATCCAACAGAGACACCGATGATCGAACATACAGTTGTCGCATAAGTTATATTCAGCTATTAGACTATCCGGAATTCCGGAAAAAATGGATCGCTTCCTACACTTCTGACTTGAAGTCAGATAGGGAAAACATTAGAGCAACGTAAGGTGCCGAGGTAGGTTCATATGCCATTTATCTGTCATGGATCAATGAGCCCTGATGCACTATTGGTTCCGAATCATGATTCACCAACTCCCCTAGGTGAACACTGTGCAAATGAATTCAGTGATAGTGCCGGACACTCACTTTCGATCTACATCTGATGGTCGCTACGCTTCAATTGTAATACATATGTAGATAAGTATTTATTTTCGAGGTATGCATACATGATTAACCATAAAGTGCATCATGAAGTAAGTGCTTAGTGCGACTCCACGTCCATGTGCGAACTCGTAAACTAGGCGTTGAATCACACTTATCGTGCTAAGGCTATAACGCTACCTGGCTGTCTAGACTTCAGCAGGCAGAGTAGGATTCGAACCTGTGATATAGTGGTTGAAAGTCAGTTGCTTACATTGATGGTCAACTGTTTTGAGGATCAAGCAAAGGAGATATTATGCTTTCCAGAAAAAAATTAATAATGGTAGAAAATACTTGGAATACTTGGAAATAAAAGGTGATTGGATTGATTACGATCCAGTTTACAAGTGAGACAAAATTGTGAAACTTCAAGATTACACCTTAGTAGCCTCAATGAAGTGACTATCTGCCTGTATCTCGTCAACTGGCATATTATAAAGTAGTAATAACCAGTGTTTCGAGACTAAGTGAGAAATTTTAAAGCTGATCGTAACGACGAAGATGCAAACACTCTTTTAAGTTGTATCACTATGTGCCACACCAAAAAAAATTATGTGGCACCATACCCTAACATAGTGGTTACGTTCGAGAATTAAGCTTTACCTTCACCTCAATATATATTAAATTTATTTAAACATGAGATTCTTCTTATTCATGTCGGTATCATTCCGCTTTCAAGAACTTTCTTTCCTTGCATCACCCAAAAAAATACTTTAACCTGAATTATTACACTCTAACCATTTTATTTGTCTGCATCTTACCTTGAAGTGAACTAATCAATCAAATTCGGTACTGAGATAATAATAATAATAATAATAATAATAATAATAATAATAACTAATCAATTTATTTACCCTCGGATTGTATGCTGGATTGATGGTTCTTTTTTTTCCAAGGAACTAGCATATCTGTATTACGAAATTCTGTTCCATTGATATGTAACGGTAAGTGAGCACCGGGAACTGCTTCAATTATTCTTGTTGAGGGTTCTGATGAGTTAGTAATATCGACTACACATTTTGTTTTACGATTCACATAATATGTAGGTTCAGAATTAGATAAACCATGCTGTTCTTTGGCCCAAACCTTCAATAAGTAGATAAATGAATAAAAGTTTGAATCGCTTACTACTAAGACAATCAATTATAGGTATTAACTAAATCCTTGATTTTTTTAATACAACATCCAGATATGTGTAAGAAAAAACTTAAGTATATTATGATGTCAAAAAGTTTCATCCGCATATTTTCATCGTACCTATAGAGTGACTGAATGTTCCAAGACCCATACGTCTGCAAGACTGATCACTGCTTCGTTTTTCATCAAATCAATATCTCATCATCATCATCAGCAGCAGCATCAATATCAACATAAGACCAGGCATTACTGTGTAACGGTCCGAGTTGCCAGAGCTCATATCAGTACATCAAGTAAAAAGGCAGTGAGGTGCGAGACTAAGATAAGAAAATTAAGTCAAAAGAAATATAAGTACGAAAAGGGAAAAAGGAAGAATGACAAAATGGTGACATTCGGTATAGCGTCGTTAAGATGAGGATAATGTGTGTATACATCTGTGCCACCAACCAACCACTAGATTCTCTTGTCCCGTGGACCCCAACCGACTAGTCTGCATCGCCCAACATGGCTCAAACCAACAGTCAAACACTTCATACATTCGTTCCATGTTTTAGTTTGGCCACCTCGGGCCTTTGTCTAGCCTGAACCTACTTCGGCCAACATTGTGTGAAGAGGCAATCGGCAACTAGGCATACGTAACACGTGCCCCAACCATCTCAGTCGACGAAGGTTTATAACCTCGTCAACTGATTTACCTCTCCCACCTAGAACTCTACAACTGACTTCTGCGTTACTAACGTGGTGACACCACGGAATACGGCCTACACTGCGAAGGCAATGGTGGTCGAACACCTGAAGCCTCCTCATGTTTTCCACCTTCAATGGCCATGTTTCACAGCCATACAGTAGAAAAGAACGGACTACCGTGAAGTACACGCAACCGTTAATAGACGATCGCATATCACGGTGGCCCCATAGGTGGTGTAAATTAGCGAAAGCCAACCGAGCCTTTTGTATCCGTGCAGAGATTTATTTCACCGGCCACTGAGCCACCAGGGCTGATCCTACTTCCCAGGTAAGTGAAGTGGTCGATACACCCAATCACTACACTCTCTATTGTTAGCCGTGGCACCGTTGAAGACCAATTCTGGAGCAATAATTCGCATTTGAGTGGTGAGAAACGCATCCCAAACATTTTCAAATTCCCACTCCAAGTGTTCAGAAGACTCTGCATCAATATCTAACACGAACAAAAGAAATGATTCAACACCAATCGCAGACATATGGAAAATTCGGCTACCGGTAAAATCAGTGAAACAAAAGCCATAGAATCGCAAAAATTATACCAGGAAGTTAAGTAATTACCTGGATATGACTGCCCAATGTGTGGTGTTCGAAACGTTACCCAATATATATCAAATTGTGCTATGTCAAGTAAACATCTGATATGGGTTAATACTTAACGACGGTGCAGATAGACAGACAAAACTAACGTAGAACCTCGTACACAAGTACATCGCTTCAAGTTGCCACACTTCACATTCGAATAAAAAGAAGAGGTAGATAGGAAAGGAGTGATATCAGAGTAGACAAAGTTGTGTGCGGGAGTAAGCAGTTTTAAGATAATGATCAGAGCAAATATTCAGGCTTTGGAAGACGTCAAGAAGTGAATATATCTGTGCCATTGTGATGGATTTACAACCATGTCACCAAGAGTTCTCAACCACTGATTCCTATAGTCTCTGATGTCCCACCTAGGCATTCTACATCTCCCCACACGGCTAAGACCAAGAGTCAGAGATTTCATCAACTGGGGCGACGTCTTCGTATCGCAAACCTGAAAACTCTTCCAACTTAATCAGGCTTCCCTAGCATGGCACGCCACGGTAAACGGCGGCTCAGCAGACACAGTACATGCGCAAGGCATCTCAGTCGACTAAGGTTTACAACCTCACCAATCGACTTGCCTATATTGCCTAGTACCCTTCATCTGAGCTCAACATTCCTCATACGGTGATTCCAACAAGCGCAAGCAATGCTACGAAGACATCTGTGATGAAAGCCTGTAGTTGCTTCATATCTTCTACGCTTAACCGCCATGTCTCACACCCGTAAAGGACTGGACTGAAGGGCAGTATGCTCGTTCTTCGATAGATCGTCGGATATCTCACCAGTCAGAGCCATAGTGACGCGAGTTGGCGAATGGCAAACGAGCCTTCTGTTTCTGACTTTAGAAAATCAACGGCCTATGACCGAATGACTCACAGGTTCACCGACCCTAACCTAGAAGTCCACATTTCCCCACATGGTTCAGAACAACAGTTCGTTTTCATGAAATGACACCACTTCTTAATAAGACCACTTTTTATACTTTTTCCGACCTAAACCCAATTCAGTTAACTATGCGCATCAGGGGAGATGATAAACAGCCACGCACAGCACACGGTTCAAGCCACCTAAGTCAGTGAGGCTTTACAGTAAGATCTACTGAATCATTTACCAGCGAATCTACACTTGAACCCTACGTCCCAAACGTAGTGGGTTCGCAGCACATGATCTATGCCACGAAAGCAACTTAGAGCTTTCTTATTCCCTCCACTTTTAATGATTATGTTTCACAATCATACAGTGGATCGAATTGGGTTGCTGTGAAGTAGACTCTACTCCGTCATATAAATATAGGTTAGTTATAACCTACCTGTATTAGACCTTGACCACCAACACGTAGAATACGAGCCAACTCATTCACTGCTTCAATACGCCTAACCAAAGTTGACAAATGATGGATTACCGCTATGCATATGAAAAAGTCAAAACGATCTGAGCAATAAGGTATCCGCAATATATCACCTACCACTACATCAAAACCTGAAAATCGCAAAAACAGAAATAACAGCATGAGTAGGAATTAGAGAAAATAGCAGAACTGAAGATTTGTCAACTGATGTCAGCAGTTAAACGGCCTAATAATTTAAACTTTACGTGAAACTGAATTAGGGATCTTCTGGACACTGACAAGAGTATGAACGTACAGCATAAAAGTAATTAAGACTAACTACACCAACAAGGCATTTACATGACCTTTATCACAGAGCTAAAAAGCAGTGTTATGTACGGACTTCTTCGAACAATTTAACTGATTTTTGACACATCTGGTATTTGTCATATTTGACTGCTCACCATATAACCAGAACTAACTATTGTTAAAATAACGTTATCCATATCATACTGTTCATAATGCAACTCATTAAACTGACAGGTTTATGTACAGAGGGTTTATGGTGTTCAGTCAGTTTAGTTTGAAGAAAGTAAAGTAGGCTTTGAACATGAAACTTACTGTCTGAAATTCTACCACCTAAGTCTGTGAAGCGCACATCCACCATGTAATGTAACAAAGGAAACAGAACTTACTGGTATCGTAATTGAGCTGTATGGACGGATGCAATTATATACGCCCGGAAAGTCCATGAAACAACCCAACACAGAAACTCAGTTTTGATTCAAGTTTAGGAAATCAGACAGCATGCTTGGCTGAAGCAATGAACTAACTAAATGAAGTACTTATCTTCGCATAGCTGGATACACATTTGATCGCAATAGCTTCCTCTAAATTAATGGATACATGTGAAAGTATTCCTGCAGGCTCAAATCACAATGAGGAGTGGAAGCAACTCAAATGTAAACTGACAAAGAGTTCACACAATGACCGTGAGCAGTGATGGAAAATGGATGCTAAGGAGATAGAAATGACAGCAATGATAGGTAGTGGTAGGCAGTTAGTTAGACTGATCAAGGAAACTGTGGCAAAATGTCAATGATTAGTAAGATTACAGAGGAGACGGGTTTGTAGATTACTTACAGAGACGACTAGAATTAGGGGCAGAACACATCAAGGGACAGTCCAACTCGCATGCAATCACTATTCTGGAGCCGTTTATCCAGTCAGATCATCCTGAACAGAATACTGAGATAGGTCCTCCAACACTTGCAGAATTTGAGAATGCTCTAAGTAACCTGAGAAGAGGAACAACAATAGAGGTAAATGGGACAGTGAAAGGTGTTTTTCCAGACGATGGTCAAGGACTTGTAGCGTTACAGTGATCCAAAGGTCCGACTATGATGCTGGTTGAAGCTAATGTTCAATATTACCAAATAATTTAAACGGACGTGACAAATCAGTTGTAAGAGCTCAAGAGATTGCCGAAATATTAATAGCATCCTGGTATATGCTAGTTCTCACAACTAAAATGAAAAGTGCATGGTTAACAAAATAGACCATTATATTTCACATTAAATGAGTTTATTGTGTATGGTACTCATTGATACACACAGTAAACAGTACTGTATCACTCTATAATTTATAAAACAATCTTCTACTGGATGATGATTGAAGGTTAAATGAAAATCTGGGCAGCAGTAGTTTTCAAATCAGTGATCTGCGGGCTACCGACTCGGTGCCCTGCCAACTGAGCTGCTGAGACTTTAATTTCACTTTCAATCATCACCCAATATGAATACAAGTCCATCAAACCACGGCTATCTCTGAGAGTCAAACTAGTATAATAATTTTATTCAATATTAAACTGTGTTCTTCCAGTACCTGATTCTACCCCAACAATAATGTACCATCTAACTACAAAACAAAATAACTAGCTTACCTCTGCTATGAACGATTTCTGCTAGCTTCAAACTTCTCTCCAAAGCAGCGATAGGTACAAGACTAGAAGTGGTGAGATTGTTGTTGCGGATATTGACAGATGAACTCCTAGCTTTCACAGTAGCATAGTATTTTGATGATGCAACAAGATACTTTCCATTCCCACAGCCAATATCAGCACCTAAACTTTCTGGTGGCTGTGATTCGATAAATTTCATAACACTAGACCAAGGTGAATGTCGAGTGGAACTAAATTCGGAGGCTATGACATCATACACCTACTTTGATGGCGGTTGCAGACGTAAAAAAAATCAAAACAATCAATCAATTGGTTGTAAGATATCATAAGGCAAGTGCACCATTTTGAAAAGTTTAAAATAGGGTCCTTTAAATATGAATAAATTAAAATGTCCGAGGCAAAATAAGCATAAAATAGTCAGTACAAACGCAGCAACAAAGTTTTAGCTGAGTCTGCGTCCTATATATAAGCTGTGTATAGATTTTTGTAACAAGAATTTTAACGGAGAAGAAAATTTAACAAAATCTGTTATCGCTTAGTATATTCTAAGGTCAAGATAATATCAGAATGCATACGAAAACACTTTGTCTCTCTGGATCTGATAAAACGCCCATTGTGCATTAGCATACTTTTATAATATTTATTAAGCATCTATGTGTAAAATGATAAGAATGAGATATATAAATTCCAGCTGTTTAGGATAGTGTTAAAAAGGCTTATAATACCGAGAGGAGAAAATTGTACGATATTGGTTTGCACTATCATTTGACTGAACCAATCAGGAATGTATAAAAGGTTTCTGTTCATGATGCCACAAATCAGAAAAATAAATAAAGGAATGGAATAGAGATAAGCAAACAAAACTAGAATGTAAACAGGGTCTGTAGCTTAGGATGACCATGATAACTATCACAACTAGAATATGCTGCTAACTAACGACCGCACGATAAGGATTGCAACAATTAACCTAATTAAACCCAAACGATAACCCAGAATATCCTTCACTACTAACTAATTATTTTAATCACCCAAGAATCAGTCAGTTGGTCAGAAGAGTTACGAAATGGTTATATATTCAGAAGTTGACACTCGATTAGACAGCCATTAGGTGTAACCAACCTCTATTTTCACTATTTTAACTAGTAAACATCCATGATCCCATCAGACGAATAAACTCAAAATTTCAACTTGACGTTGATCAGTATATAGGTATGTTATATGTAAAATATGTCCCATACATGTAGCCATCTTAATGGCGTAGATGTAGCCATACAATATCCCCATCTAAATCATTAAGACGAATTTCAGCATTCTCCCATTCCTCTCATTCTTTTTTCATGACTTTCTACCAATTTTGACTACTCTCTTCTTCACGATCTCCTATCGTAGTGTATTCTCGCTTCATGTGCTGACGTGAGGTATGGTAAGTCGGACAGCTGCACAGTGATGCTAGGTAATATGTTGACTTTCTGTATCTCTCTGTACGTATAGTCAGAAACTCTCAATGTGTTCATATCATCCGCCTCCATTGATCATTCCCACGGCCGTGCACCAGAAAAGGCTGTGAGGCTTTACAGGTTCTTTTCATAGCATTTTCCAAATCTTCAACATGAAACGTTTAATCAAAATCAACTAACTAGACTACAACACTGAAAGTTATTATTTTGCAAATAATTGAAATATTATACATACTCTTGCACAAACCTGATGGACATATCGTTTTTCCAGTTCATTTGGATCGAACTCTTCGTTTTCAAGTAAATTACTCTGTGAGTTCTCGGAATTACAGCTGGTCATTTGAAACCATTTGCAGCTGAAATGCAATGAAAGCAACCATCAATTTATTTCTTGTGAACTAACAACAAATTTCGACAAAGGAGCTCCTTCCTATATGGAAGAATGAAATATGCTCGGGTACTCAGTGATGCACTGGTCTATAATAAAACAATGCAACTAAACCAGAAACATGTTTTGTGTAAGGGGCTATAAGCCACACGATGGTGTAGTAGCTTATAAAATTACCCAGTTACCTAAACCGAAGTAGATGAAGTGTTGCGAATCCAAACCAATGAGCCACCATGAAGGCATTTAAATGAAACTCACAGATCTCCATTAACTGGTCTTCCTTTTTCCCGCATCACTTTAAATTTTGGTGGAAAGTTGTGGAATTAAAAAATGTTTCTTATTTGGCCTGAAGTCAAAGGCTAATATTCTGAACGACACTTAATAATTTAGAGGTTTTGAAAGGCGATTCCCTGTACGTTCCAGAAGTCTAGTAAATGACTGGCTTGCTTTGCAAACAACTTAGGTAAGTTGACTGTAGCGACTTACAGCCATGCATACCATTAGTTATATTCACAGTGCTATACATATATGCTTCATTTCGAAAGTTTTCAACTTGAATGTGAATCTTGATGAAATACTTTTGATTGATAGAGATTTCGAAAAAACAGAATCCCTTTACATCTTTAAGGAAAGCAAATCTGACCTGAAGAATAAAGATACATTGTGGCTTACAATATTCAGCTGACGATGAAACCAACCGTCATATATCCACAGTCCTGTATCTTGAACAAGGATTCGTGGGTCGTTATATCTTATATCCACAGGATCCGAACCCAGTTGTATGCTTGCCACGGGAACTGACAATTCCAGGCCCAAACTCACGTGAGACTATGGTTGCACACAGCTGGAGAGTACAGTACTAAAACGAAACAGTTGTATCATGCTACCAAGTTTTCACTGGCTCTTTAAATGTTTCAGTCTATGATGAAAACTACTTCGAAACCAACTAATTCTTACAAACCAACAACCGAAATCCTTTCTATTTTGAGGTTTGTGGGGATTTATTTATTGATTTCAGGTCGATATTCATCATAGACTAGCATCAGTTAGAGAAACACTGGGAAACTGGGAGCACTGGACAGCTGTTTTGTCCTAGAATGAGACTCCTCGTGACCGGGAGGGAGTCCAATCAAGTCAGTTGTGAGGAAATACTCAGCGATGGCGTTGGATGGAGGTCGCGCTACATCGTGAACTGACAGAAGTAGAAAAAACGGACAGTTGGATCCCGACCCAGTGGCTCAACACTAATCTACCGACCTCATGACCTGAAGATCATGGGTGAGCACCGCAGAGGAGTCCTATACCGGGGCGACACAACTGTTCACTGCTCCCATGTCATCAATGAGTATCCAACTGGTGTCATTCCATCGTGAATACCAACCTGAAATGAAATCTTTCCTGTCTGCCTTTTTTAACTAATCATCTCCAAAGCCAAATAAAAACATTGCGCTAGTAGAACTTTCACAACTAGAATATGGGAACTTCCATTTTCATTGATTTATTAGATTTCTCACAGTGTAACAGTATTGTTTACTGGATTACGTTTCGGATATAATTTATTGTCCATAGTCATATCAAGATAACTACACAACTTTGAGATATCTTTTATATAGCCCTAATATGGGAAATGAGGTCAAAAGAGGTCAATGTTTTTGAAATTGCTCGTAACTTAAGTGGTACGAAAATGAAACGCATTCATCAACTTTGTTTACTTACATGCAGTGGGTAATGAGCTACACCTGTTGTGTAAGGGCCAATGATATTACCTGGCTACCCAAACTTAAGTAGGTGGAGCAGCATTTGAACCCGTGACTCACTAGTTGAAACGGAACTCGTGACACCAGTAAACAACTCCACTTAAGTAGTACAAGTATTTAACAGGTTATCACTGACTGAATGGGCGTCCGAGGTTGACATGGAGATGGTATGAGAAAGAAATGAAAGCTTGTGGGCGGTCATAGTGCCAGGTTCAAAAGACTGCGGAGAACAGTGTGCAATGGAGGCGTGCCACTGAAACCCTACGTTCCACTAGGAACCCAAGGGGAAAATATAAATAATAATAATAAATACTGACTGAAGGTTAATCAATTGAGGATGGTAACTGTAAACAGATTAGAAAATGACCATGTGTATTACTGACTATCTTAAGTATGAACTTCACTGAAACTCACGGTTGTATACAAGTTCACGTTATCGCCTATATATACATGTACGTCATCTCTTCATATGCACAGGTGAATAACATACTGGTAGCAGTGAAGCACTCATCCACAGATAAACTGAGTACTAGACATCAACGAAATAATACCACAGAACAGAAACTGCTACTCTAAAACAATTTGTGCAAATATTTTCCCTGCCAGTGAACCCTAAATAACTTCAAAACCCTTGAGAAAATACGCAGACGGAAGAGCGGATTTCATATCTTGCATTGTCGTTTCAAGCATGGAATTGGCAGCACCAACGTTCTGTTACTTTGCGTTAAGCTAGAATAGCCACACAAACCAATGACTATATCACCAGAAAGTGGTAAATTTGTAGCTGATTGGAGCCGAGAATAAGCCTACTATAAAGGGTTTTTCCGATCCAGATGCATTTCACATATGCAAGTATATGTTCGAAATAGCAATAATTTAACGCACTCTTTACCGTCGCTCTTCGGCATTATGGTCGTATAGTTAACGGGTTCGACAAAGTAAAGTTACTACCTATAATGCTGTTAATGGTTTCAAATGGAACTTCCCCAAAAATCCTAGGGGAGTAGGGGAACTACGTAAAATCTGATTGCCATCCAAACACGTTACTAAATAATATAACTTCCACCCGTAAAGGTGTTTAGGAGATCAAATGTATCTCTACGCAGGTATTGTGACGTAGTAACGTCGACATAAGCAAGTTCTGAACGAACAAACAAATGCTGTTTCGGGGTCCGTAGTACAAGAACTCATGGTCTGAAGGGTGAAG